TCTCCAGCCCCGGAGATAAACAGGGAGTACCTGACAATCGCATTGGGTCGCCCAGAGGAGAAAGTCCCACGCCTCCCGGAGGAGCGCTTGGGGACACCGCGCCCTCCCTGCTTCAGGATGTACGACATGGCCGCCTGGTTGTCTAACTGAAGACGGACTACCTGGCCACGGACATGCTCTCTGAAGCCAATACCAACCGCACAGCTCTCAGCTCCAACACGCTGATGTGAAGGTGAGCTTCGCTTCGACCAGAGTCCGAAGCCGACAGACTGCCCAGAACGCCCCAGCCCGTGAGGGACGATCTGTCTGAACTGTGAGAGCTGGCGCCGATTTCCAAGGGGAACCCCTGGTGAGATTCCCCGACATTTGTCCACCACTGAAGGTGAGGTGTCAACCACTGGGACTGTGAGACTGCGCCCAGATCCTCCGCGGTGAGTCCACAGCCGAGCCAAAGCTTGCTGTATGGGACGATCTCAACCGCCCGCCACACACAGAGATCGCCGCCGCCATATGGCCCAGTAGACGGAGCCAAGTCCGTGCTGGTGCCTGGGGCTGGGAGAGGAATGAAGATACCATCTCCTAACTCTGGTGACCTCGTCGGGCGACAAGGAAACGAGATCCTTGTTCGCTTGAATCGCTACCCAAGAAAACCAAGTCCTGGGTGGGTACCAGGTCGGATTTCTTGAGGTTGATGATCCACCCCAGTCGAAGTTAGAATGTCTATCACTGTGTGAGTAGCATCTTGACTCGCTGGCTGTGTTAGTGCTCGAGCAACCAGTCGCCTAGGTAAGGGTAACAACGCCTTCCCTTGCGAAATGAGCTAGGGTAGCTGGGACTAACATGAGCTTGGTGAACACCCTTGGGGCAGTCGATATGCCGGCGGGGAGCACCCTGAATTGGTAATACATCCCGCCGTAAGAGAACCGGAGGTACTGCTTGAACGAGGGATGTATGGGTACATGCAGATACGCGATCCTTTAGGTCGATTGACGGAGCCAATCGCCGGGCTGAACAGATGAGATCACCGAAGCGCAGTGTCTCCATCTTGAAGGATGGTACTTCGAGCATGCGATTCAACCCCTTGAGGTTGAGAATCGGACGGAACCCGCCGCCTTTCTTCGGACGGGAAGTACGCGGAGTAAAATCCCGCCTGTTCCTCTCCCCCGGAATGCGCCGACATGCGGACTTGTCCAGCAGAGCCTGAACTTCGTCAAGCAATATGTCCGCCTCTGGCCTGGCATGACGGCACCGGAGTGCGCCGATGCCGGTGAAGTCGGGCGGATCTCGCCTCCACAGTGGGAGATGGCCTATGCTGACCGTGGCCAGCACCTGCAAGCGTTGTTGGTAGCCTTCTCCCATTCCGCAGGAATAGAGAGAGGCGCCTCCCACTGGGATATGGGGTAGGAGCTGCGGCGGGGACCCTAGTAGCGAGCTGACTGGGTGTGACACACGGCTTGAGCGGCAGCCTGTTGGGTTAACGGGAGGTCGGGCAGACCTCCCGCTACCGCTGAAAAGGCTGCTGGAGCTAGTCGAGGACTGCTCCTTGCCCCTACCCTTGGCGGACCTACTCCTCCGCCTACCCCTACCAAGCGGCCGGCCAGCCGGCAGACTCGGGTGTAGGCTGCACCCCGGGCGGAGGAAGGTGGCACGGGAGCTGGGCGACACCCGCTGGTGCTCCAACAAGGCCTTAGAATCCTTGAAGGAGGTAGCTGCAGCGCAGCCTCCCCGTGATGACCTGCTGTGCCCCGGAAAGAGGGTCGCCCCAGACGGAAAGGGAGAGCCAGCAAGGTCTGCTGTGTTGCTGCCGAAAGTACCTAGACGCCGACAGCCACAGCCTGCGCGATCCCCATGACTGCGCGACATCACCGCCGACGCAGCAGACCGCAAAGAGTCGCCAGGTGAGCCTGAACTTCCGACAGCTGACGGAGTAGCACGACATGCGCGCGACATCGCCGCCAGCATGCCCTCCGCCCCAGGGCCGACCTCTGTATCGAGGGAGAGGTAGGCCTCATGGACCACCACCCGCGACCTGCTGCATCGCTGCCCGCAGACCTCCTCAGAGGTCCGGGTACGCTGCGTCGCAGGGGATACCGCGAGGGCAAAGGTGGAGTGAGGCGCCTTGCCGAAAGCAGCCGGAGCTGCTCCGAGGAAGCCGAGCCCCCCCAGGGCGACGGAAGTGAAAACACACTCGCCAACGATCGGTACGACGAACAGGGAATCCTCCCCTGCTGGTAGCGCCGCGACGAAGTTCAGGTAAGTCAAACCTGACTCGGGTACCAGACAAGAGGGGATCGACCACGCCCGCCGACCAACGATGGCAGAATGCGGAGCTGCGCTCTGTGAGGGTTGCCTAGGGGCAAACGCCGCCAGGCAAGCGGAACTCAGTCGAAGTCCACGCTACCAGCAGGCACCGCTGCCTGGGGTAGGCCTCGCAATTCTCTGCCGGACCTCCCGCAAGGTCGGCAAAACGGAAGCCGCCGCCATGCTCCTCGACCTCCCCGAAGCTCCATTGCCTCGGCGTCCGAGCCCGAAGTCAGAGGCTGGGTCTCCTCCGTAAGAGGACCCTAACCCCGACCCGTGGACTGCCTAGCTGGGCACCACAGGAAGGGAGGAACAGACCGACTGCTCCACGCCAGCGCCAGCCGGGCGCGGCGCGGGACCCCGTCCCGGACGCTGGAGGCAGGCCAGGCAGAACTGGTGCCTCCGCCTCATGGGCGGTGTGCGCGCAGGGACCGGAATACCAGGAATACTCAACGCCTCAAGCGCAAGCTCCGAGAGGGGACTGGGAGCACCTCCTCTCCGAGCAGCCGAGGCGCCCGGATTCGGCCAGAGGCAACGGATCGACAGACGCCAAGGCTGAGGGATCTAGCCGAGGCCGGGCGATCCCACCCCGACTCTCCGCCTCGCCCGAGTGGGCGAGGAACTCCTGGCGGAGACCTCCAACCGACTCCCGACGAAGGACTTCATTGAGTCCATCTGCTTCTGAAACATCGACTCCATTAGAGACATGTCAAAACCACTGGGTGGTAGGAGAGGGGAAGGGCCACGGGATTTTTCCTTTTTGGACGCCTCGCTTAGATTTTGACGGGGAACCTGCGCCAGGTCCCTCCCGCCACGATCTCGCTGGTAAAACAGGGTGTCGGCCGCCTCTTCTTCTGTGCCCGGGGAAAAGGCCAGACAAATTGAACATGTATCAGCCACATGGCCCGCCTTCTCCAGACAGGCCACGATTGGGAGTGACTGTCAGCCCGGGAATACTTCCCCACAGACCTAACAACAGGTAAAGCCTGAAACAAACACGTAAACATGTTAGTTAACTTGTGGCCAGAAGCAGAGAAACACGAGAAAACATTGAAAAATACGCGAAGGTTACCACGGAAAGTAATAGTTGGTTTTAAAACGCAATATTACGCACCACGCCGCACGCTAAACTTCCCGCCATGGCAGAGCAAACTTGGCGTAAACCACGGAAAGTTTATGATTTTGATAGTACTTATACAAAGTCACAATTATGAAACAACCACTGTAAGGCTTTACTGTTATTGTTTTAGACAAATAAAACCAAACATACAGGTGGTGTCTCAGACATCTTAAAATACAGCTACTGCACGGCTCATGAAAGGTAATCACAACTAACGCCTGTTCAGGGCCGTGACAGCAGAAGGAATGATGATACGGGTCTAGGAGCCTACCCAGTTGGTGCGCATGCTTAAGGGAGGTAACTCCGCGGAGGTAGGGTCCGTGATAATAAATAAAAGAGTTTATTTATTGTACAATCTTTTATTCAAAAACATTGATACAACTGTCACAGGACATTTTACAGCCGAAAATGCATAATATGTACCCCAAGGACGATCTCTGAAAAAATAAGAGATTATCGCTCTCATCCAGAAGAATTTAATTGTTCTGGTTTGGCTCAGAATATAGTAGCATACATAACCTCCTAAATCTTCTAATGGATGATGTTCTTTGAAAGCGAGTGCACAAAGCTCCAACAGAACAGAACGTCAGAATTGTCTGGTTGTCCTGGAAGTTGATCCTTTGTTATGAATTCTCAAACTAACATCAGTGAGTGAGTTTAGTTTTACGGTGATTTTAGCAACATTCCAGCAATATCAAGGCAGGGGACACCAGAAAAGGGCTTCACATTTTGTAGCCATGTGAGGAATCGAACCTGGGTCTTCGGCGTGACAAGCAAATGCTTTAACCACTAGGCTACCCCACCTCCCCTTCAAACTAAGTAAACTGATGCACGTGTATCAGTATCAAATTGGGTTCTAATGAAATCAATCGGATGAATCTCAGACAATCTGGCTCCAATGGCTACTACCAGGAGAAATAAAGTCTTCAGAGTAATAAGTAAAACTTCTTGTAGAGGTTCAAAAGCTTTGCTGGTCAGATGTTATGTGACTACATTTAAATCCCATAGAGGTGCTCTGAATATCTTCTAGTGACCTTCATATCTGAAAAACCTCAGAAGAGTTCTGTAAGTTCTCCTCCTTTAACAATGGTCAGGACTGAACCAATAACCGCTAAATAAAAAACATTCTTTCTGGTCATGGACAGTGTTTTTCAAGGCATTGATAGGATTGCTTGGATTAACACAGAAAGTCACCCGCTGGTAACATGGGGGATGGTGTGCATGTATGCGAGAGGAGTGCGTTCAGGTTGCGTTTCTGTTCTTGAGGAACATAACACAAAAATGTTTTCACTATATCTTGGGCTTGGGGAGAGACAAGCAGTTAATATAAGTCAGGGTAAGAATATACAAAAAAAAATTCCAAACAATTGCATGCAAGACAACTGATCATATGAAACAGTAGTGGTTCACTCGTGCTTGAGACAACCAACCAAATGAAAGAGAGGTTTGTAGCATGCTACAGACAACCGACCATATGAAACAGAGGCTGTGTGGTATGCCCTGAAGACAAAAAAAACATATGAAACAGTGTTTTTTCAGCATCCTAGAGACAACCAACCATATTAACCATGAAACCTACCTTCTTGATATGTTGATGGAGAGAAGACGTGGACCACCTTGGACTTCTTCATCTGCTGTTGCTGATGCGACGTGAGACTCTCCTCCAGCCAGTCCTCCACTAGACACAGGTGTGGGTACTGAGTCACCAAAAGCCTAAAACAAAACATAAAACAAATATTGACAACCACAAGTGCAGTGACACCAACAGTCCACTAAGAGACACAACAGCCATGCACACAGACAAGGCTTACCAGCATTTAATAATGTTGAATATATGCAGGTGTTTACATAAATGTGGAAGTGTGTCAGCACTATTAAAGCAACATCTCTAAAGCATATTGATAAGAGTCTGAGTGAGAGTGAGTGAGTTTAGTTTTACACCACTTGTAGCAATATTCCAGCAATATCACGGCATGGAACACCAGAAACGGGCTGCACACATAGTACCCATGTGGGGAATCAAACCCAGGTCTTCGGCACGACGAGCAAACACTTTAACCACTAGGCTACCTCACTGCACCCATCGTCGTGATAACAGAAGCAGAGAGTTGATAAGACTTGAGAAACCAGCCATTTCTTCAGGTACTATGAGCACATTTTACCAAGAGTGAGTATGGCTTTATGCCATTTTAGCAATATTCCATCAAGATCACGACAGGGAATACCAAAAATGGGCTTCACACATTGTACCCATGTGGGGAGTTGAACCTGGGTCTTCAGCGTGATGAGCGGACGCTTTAACCATTCGGCTATCCCCTCCACCCCACCCCCATTTCACCAAGAAATCCCAACAGGCAACATGCAGACTTCAGAATATACATACACCTTTATCAAAGATTGTCTCAAACTATGGCTAAATCAGTATATCAGAAATTGTCCAATAGATTGAAATCAAGAGAATTTCATTTCAGTTGTTGTTATAGTGGCTGTTATAGTCCCAGTGATTCAGTCAGGCCCACCTTGTGAGAGGGGCAAACAGGCCGGCATACATCTGCTGTTCTTTGAGAGCCTCCTGTATGAGATAGTTGATGGGGATCTTGGACATGATGGTATCAGAGTATGACTTGATCGGACTCTTCAGCAACACTGTGGTGGAAGAATGAAAGGTACGTCAAAGGATTCAAACAAAGACGGAAGGTTGTGTTCAATATCTACATAAGCAACTGACCAACTAAAGTCATTAGAACATTTATAATAAAGATTAAAGACCTGACATTTTAGTCAAAAAATAATATTGCCTGCCACCAAAAATACAACTCTGCAAGATGGTATTGCAATGTTATCTGAACAAATATACTATCTCCATACAAAATCACAGACCCCCTACCCCACAGAAATATCAAAAGTAGTGTTGGGAATTGGTTAAAATCTCATAATCGATGACTGGTTCATTACAACCGATCAATCATCAAAAATAATTGGTAAGAGTCATTTATCAAAGTTCCTTTTATCTTTGTTAATGCACACACACAAAATAAAGAAAAAACATGTTGTAATTAGGTTTTTTTTCCAAATTGCACAAAATCCATTGGCAAATTTTGCATATTTAAAGGATGATTAGTATGTTAGGAACGCAGATTTCCTGGATTCTTTAAGATAAATTCAATCATGACTTGGAAAGAGCTTGTAGTGCTTATGAAATGTAAATTTAATGACACAGACAAAACCTTGTGTAAAATATCGTTGATGCAAACAAGTGTTCCAAAATTGGTTGTGTTCGATTATGAGAAAGCACAAACGATTGCTTGGTCGTTAAGGCACTGAAACCAATCTTCGCTTATTTCAATTAATCAGACCACCACTAATCAAAAGGTCAATCACTTCGTGAAAATCCCTCATCAGCTGTGAGAGTTATGATAAAGTTTACTTTTACGCCACTTTTAGCAAAATTCCAGCAATATCACAGTGGGGGACACCAGAAACTGGCTTCACATATTGTACCCATGTGGTGAACCGAATCCGGTCTTTGGCGTGACGAGTGAATGCTCTAACCACTAGGCTACCCCACTGCCCCATTATGATCAAGAAAGTCTTACATTGCTTTACTCTGGTTAGTATGGTCATGTTACCATCTTAATTATGCTGGTGTTGCTTTAAATGATGGGGCAGGACATTAACTCCTTTAGGCCCCTGTCAGATTTTAGAACCTATAGTAATTATATGTCAAAGTCTTGACCCATTAAAAGTCTTCACAAGTTACAGCCCTGACTCACTAAAAGTCTTCATAAATCAAAGACCTGACTCACTAAAAGTCTTCATAAATTAAAGTTCTGACTCACTAAAAGTCTTAATAAATTAAAGTCCTGACTCACTAAAAGTCTTCATAAGTTCAAGCCCTGACTCACTAAAAGTCTTCATAACTTAAAGTTGTGACTCACTAAAAGTCTCTAAGTTAAAGTCGTGACCCACTAAAAGTCTCCATAAGTTAAAGTCCTGACTCACTAAAGTCTTCATAAGTTAAAGCCCTGACTCACTAAAAGTCTTCATAACTTAAAGTTGTGATTCACTAAAAGTCTTCATAAGTTAAAGTCGTGACTCACTAAAAGTCTTCATAAACTAAAGCCCTGACTCACTAAAAGTCTTCATAAGTTAAAGTCGTGAGTCACTAAAAGTCTTCATAAGTTAAAGCCCTGACTCACTAAAGGTCTTCATAAGTTAAAACCCTGACTCACTAAAAGTCTCTAAGTTAAAGTCGTGACTCACTAAAAATCTTCATAAGTTAAAGCCCTGACTCACTAAAGGTCTTCATAAGTTAAAGTCCTGACTCACTAAAAGACTTCATAAGATAAAGCCCTGACTCACCTATAGTTTTCATGTGGTTCATGAGTGTATCCTCATACAACAACACATAATACAACACCAGGAGCTGTGGAGACAAATTGTCCTGCCGTACGTCCGACTGAGACTGCAGCCGTTGTGTAGCTGAATGAGTCACTGAGTCTCTGTACACTGCCAGTATTTCCTGCTCTGTCAGCGGTTCATTGGTGTGTTCAGTTTTAGCACCTTTCACTATGATTGAGTTCACATATGTCTCTATCACTTGTGGCAGTAGAGGGTGTAAGGGAAGTGAACTGTGTAAAATTTGTTTGTAGATCCAATCCTGAAAAACAATGATGTAGTGAGTGAGTGAGTGAGTTTAGTTTTACGCAACACTCAGCAATATTCCAGCTATATGGTGGCGGTCTGTAAATAATCGAGTCTGGACCAGACAATCCAGTGATCAACAGCATGAGAATCGATCTGCGCAATTGGGAACTGAGAACATGTGTCAACCAATTCAGCGAGCCTGACCACCCAATCCCGTTAGTCGCCTCTTACGACAAGCATAGTCGCCTTTTGTGGCAAGCATGGGTTGCTGAAGACCTATTCTACCCCGGATCTTCACGGGTCAACAATGATGAAATGAACAATCATATTTGATCTGCATCAGTGGGTGAGTGGATATTCTTTAACACTGCAGTGAGAATTTTGCTGAGCATAGCACATGCATACACACACATACAGACTGGTCCAGACAGAATTATTGACAGGTTCTTGTAATATAGCAGGAATACTACCAAGCAGAGAACATGCACGCTCACACATGCACAAGCACTCACACAGCGACGGTCCCAACTGAATTATTTACAGGTTGTTGTCAAAGAACTGGAATATTGCTGAGAGAGGTACACGCACCCAAGCACACACACAAAAGGAAACCTGCAGTGGTTAAGCACAATGTTTCAAGCTGTCAAGTATATGACACAAAATCAATCAGGTCTTACATCACACAGACCTAAAGTTGCCTATGACAACAAGCATGGTTAGTGTGAACTTCGTGAACTGACGGTAATATTTGGCATTCTAAAGTACAAATTCTACAGATGGTTGTTTGGTTTATGGTTTAACGCTGCACTCAGCAATATTCCAGCTATATGGCAACGGTCTGTAAATAATAAAGTCTGGACCAGGCAATCCAGTGATCAACAACATGAGCATCGATCTACGCAACAGAGGTGCGATGACGTGTCAACCAAGTCAGCGAGCCTGACTACCCAATCCTGTTAGTCGCCTCTTAAGCATGAGTCGTTTAAGCACGAGTCGCTGGAGACCAATTCTAACCTGGATCTTCACGGGTCTCAAATTCTACAGAAATCAACAGTCAATATTTCGACTGGGATATTACCTTGATTGCAACATTGTGTTTGGAGAAAACACGACTCTTGAGTAACTGACAGATACTGTGTAAAGGGAGGTAACCCAACATAGTGGAGTTGAGGTTCGGAGTGACCGGGATCTTGACAGCATGTGATGCTATCACCTGGAACAAACATCACACATTGAGGACTTCAGTAGACAAGTAACCATGGAGACATGGCATGATTCCAATCTTACTGGAAAGGTACCAATACACATCATTAGGGATGTCACAATACGATAATCCCCCCAATATAACTGACTGACAAACCGAGTATGGTCTTAAGCTGCTTGTAGCAATATTGCAGCAATATCACAGCAAGGGACACTAGAAATGGGCTTCACACATTGTACTAATGTGGGGAATCGAACCCACGGCTTTCAGTGTGACGAGTGAACGCTTTAACCATTGAGTGAGTGCGTATGGTTTTAAGTGTCAATATTCCAGCAATATCACAGCAGGATACACCAGAAATGGGCTTCACACATTGTACCCATGTGGGGAATCCAACCCAGGTTTTCGATGTGACAAGCAAATGCTTTAACCACTAGGCTACCCCACAGCCCCCAATTGTCTATCAGTCACAAACTTGACCAGCATGTTTATGCAAACCACAGTACATAAAACATGACCAAATACAAACAGTAGCATTAACAAGGAACAAGTAAAATGAAGGATATTCTAAAACATCCTTTATCACAATGTCCGAGGTTAAGAGTTCAGGGAATGCTGATAAGTACCTACCTGCTCCGTGAACAGCTCCTGTGTGAAGATCTGCCGCATCCTGGACAGAGCATTGGCCTTCACTGCACTCTGACACAATGATAATAACAATAACATAAATAACAACCACATCAGAAATAGTAATTGTCACTGACAATAAAAAATTATTATTCATGAAAAAGGTTATAAAAGGTATCAAAACAAATGAATTATGTCCGTGACATAGGTATAATTCCATGCAATGTGGATATGGCTTATTTCTAGTTCTTGTTCACATTGGTTTTATGGCCTAGCATGAAAATACTGGACACAAATGTTGATATTTCATCCATTGTCGTGACAAGGAGAGTAAAACTTCAAACAAAGTATGACATAACACCACAATACCAAAGTTTTCAGATTTAATTTGTTTATTGCTCTATCTTTTGTGACCCACACACTCAGTTTCGAAATCCTTCAAGCATACTCTGCTTAGTAAGACAAAAGGTCATTCTGACTTGAGTGAGTGAGTGTGTTTAGTTTTACGCCACACTCAGCAATATTTCAGCTATATGGCAGAGGTCTGTAAATAATCGGGTCAGGACCAGACAATCCAGTGATCAACATCATGAGCATCAATCTACGCAATTGGGATACGATGACACATGTCAACCAAGTCAGCGAGCCTGACCACCTGATCTCGTTAGTCGCCTCTTACGACAAGCATGGTTACTGAAGATCAATTCCAACCGGGATCTTCACATCTTCATTGTGACATGATCTGTAATGGATGTCCTGTGACCTTTGTGTAGACGTAGAAGGAACTTATGCTCAATATTGATAAGATGAACTGTCAACCTGCTATCATTAGCAGAAAGCACCAAAGTATTCCATGAAACCAAAAACCTAACCATAATATTTTCATGAAGCACACATTTATACACTCACAGGCACACAGTACATAATTATACAATCAATTTAACACAAATCGCTGCATACCAGTTACCGTACACAACAACCACAACATAACTCACGTCCATGTCATCAAACATGCAACTTCCGCCTGTTGACCATTATATATTTATGTCTTTCTCCAAACACTTACTTCACTTATGAAGGAAAGTGTCAATAAGAAAAATCTGACAAATATTGCTGAAATGAAAGAAGAGGTGGTCCGATATTGGGACAGCATGGACCACGATTTTCTAACTTCTTTGATCAGTAGTATGCCCTGCCGCATTGAAGCCTGCATTGCTGCCAATGGTGACTTGACAAAATACTAATTGTTCACCTGTCTTTGAATCTGGAGTTATGTTCTGCTAATATTCACATTTAATATGCGAGTAATGAGTGAAAAAAACAAAAACAAATTACAATCGTAAATTCTCAATAATTTCTGGTTGTACTGTATGTCTTTCTCCAAACACTTACTTCACCAACTTGCAACAGCGTACAGTATGCTATAATGACCAAGACAATGGTGCATGTATGGGTGGAGTACCTTCATTCCGAGAGTCTTGCACACAAGGTCAGCTATCGCGTGTATCTGGTTGTTGTGGAAGTGTAGGGCAATCAGGAACAGCATCTCTCCAAATGATGTCCCACATGCAGCTTCCCTGCAGGTACAACCATACCACAGGTCACAGAATGAAACAGATTGATCTTAGCATGATCCTGAAGTTATAAAGGATGGCTTAATCTTACCGAGCATCAACAGAGGGGCATTTGTTTTATAATGGAGTCAATAACGATGGCTGTCTGGCTTTGTGAAACAATATCATAATTCAGATCTGTACAATGCATAAAAAAGAGCCATAAGATGGTAATGATACTGCTAAAAGATCACTTCATCCTTTAAAACTTTCCTTATAAGGCATAAAGCATTCACTCTACAAAGCATTCATGATAACGCATGACGTGCCTGTTCTACAAAGACTGACTGAGTTTAGTTTTACGCCGCTTTTAGCAATATTCCAGCAATATCACGGCGGGGGACACCAGAAATGGGCTTAACACATTGTGCCCATGTGGGGAATCGAACCCGGGTCTTCGGTGTGACGAGCCAAGGCTTTAACCACTAGGCTAGGCTTTAACCACTACCCCACCACCCCTGTTCTACAAAGAAGTCATGATAAGGCATAAACTTATATATAAAAGCAGCCCCTCTACAAAGCACTCATGATAAGGCATCATGTGTCTGTTCTACAAAGCACTCATGATAAGGCATCACGTGTCTGTTCTACAAAGCACTCATGATAGAGCAAGAATCATCCATGCAAAAGAGTAATCATAATAATAATAATCCACCCTATGGGGCAATCTTGTTAAGGCACAAATCAGATGCTCTATGAGGCAATTATGATTAGACGTAAATCATCAACTTAACAAAGCAACTATGATAAAGCAAAGAACATCAATTCTGTAAGGTAGCCCTGTCTTGTGAATAAGGACACTCTTTATTTGGCAATCATGATACAGATTCACTCACTTCTCGAAGATGCTCTCGTTTGTCATGAGCCACTTAATCCAGTCGATGACCTGTTGCTCCTGGTCTAAGGACCTGCAACAGATGGAACATGTCATAGTTATATGTTGATATTTACAGAGTCTCATCTTGGTCAATAGCTTTGTAAATTCTTACTTATCATCTTTTCCAATGTTTTTCTTTTGTGAAATTTAACTCACTGATGCATGTGGTAAGGACATGCTATGAGAGTGAGTGAGTGAGTTTAGTTTTAAGCTTCACTCAGCAATATTCCAGCTAAATGGCAGTGGTCTGTAAATAATCAAGTCTGGACCAGAAAATCCAGTGATCAACAGCATGAGCATCGATCTACGCAATTGGGAACTGATGACATGTGGCAACCGAGTCAGCGAGCCTCACCACCCGATTCCGATAGTCTGCTATGAGAGTACACAAACAGATATGAAATACTCACCCCAGGAGATAGGGACAGGCTATGAGGGTACACAGTCCGAGGGATATAAAGTGAGCACCAGCCTTTGAGGGAGGGGGTCGAGCTGTTACCAGGTCCAGCAGAGCTACCATTTCTTCATCAGAGTATCTAGTCAAAACAACACAAAACCAGTGATTATCTAGTCAAAAACAACACGAAATCTGTGATTATCTAGTCAAATGAGTGAGTGAGTGAGTTTAGTTTTACACCGCACTCAGCAATATTCCAGCTATATGGCGGCGGTCTGTAAATAAACGAGTCTGGACCAGACAATCCAGGGATCAACAGCATGAATATCGATCTACGCAATTGGGATACGATGACATGTGTCAACCCAGTCAGCGAGCCTGACCACCCCATCCCATTAGTCGACTTTTACGACAAGCATGGGTTGCAGAAGATCCATTCTAACCCGGACGTTCACGGGTCTTATCTAGTCAAAACCTATACATCACTCTATTAGTATTTCTAGTCAAAACAGCAAGTGACCTCATCACACTTATTCACAGTACCAAGTCACCACATCCTGTGGCCTTATCTGAGTATCAAGTAAAACATTGTGACTTCATCAGAGCATCTGTACACAACAAGTCCGGGCTCCACCTACTTGAGTGTGGCCATCCCTCTCAGTGCGCAGTACAGCCTTATCAGCATGCTGGCCTGCACTACTCCACTCTCTGCCATCCTGTCTCCCCGTGTGGAAGGAACAATGGAGGTCACCTGGTCGAGCAGCTGTTGTCGCAGCGTGTACAACATACAGCCTGATGGTTCACGCTTTCGCTAGAAAACAAAGCCTTAAGATGAACAGGCAGTATCAGAGAAACATTTTCAGTTATCCATTACTGACACTTAATCTGTAATAGTCGGCAAACCATTATAATTAACTAGTGCATGACAACAAATCACAAAAAATGATACAAGATACACTTACTTAATTCTTACCCAATACCTATTTCACAAACTGTTGTAATTATCAGCTTTTTAGCAATGATCATAGTTTATCATAGAAGCTCCATAATTCAGTCTGTTATGACCGTTCAGTCATGTATTGACCGTTCAGTGATGAAGTCATGTATTGATGTAGAGTTCAATGATGAATATTTACCTTTTTCAAGACTACATTAAATGATTTTTGTAAATAAATCAATTCTAGTTTTACGTTGTTATCTTCAAACCAGAACACACTGAACATGTTAAACATTGTCAAAGGATTAATTCTGATTCAAATTTGACATAAGGTTTCAGGAATTTGGTTCATTACATTTGGTACTTAAAAGTTTTCTGCTGAAGCAGCACAAAGATGATTTACCACAATTAAAAGTTAAACATGGAAATTGTGGTATGTTTAAAGCGTAAACATGGACATTTTTCTCTATACAAAAGTGTTGAATGATGTTAACACAAAAGAAATACCTGGAAAAATATAGCTCACCTGGATAACTAGTCGATCGTTTATTTACAAAGACAGACACTTTAAAAGGTGTATCTTGGAAATGGCATTCAAATGTTGTTTTTGTGAGGTGAGGTGAAATGGGGTTTAACATCGCACTTAAGAATGTTTTGCTCATATGACGACGTGCATGCGTGTGTATGTGTATGTGTTGCTGCTTGTACTAGCCCAGACTTATGCTGGTTTTATAGTGCTAGCCCACTGAGATACCGTGACGCAGTGAAGCATGAATACCCCACTCAGACACATTATACTGACTCCGAGCCGACCAGTCCTTGTTGTACCCATTAATGCCGAGCGCCAGGTAGGGACCAACAAGTACCATATTTTAATGTCTTTTGGTATGATGTGGGCTGGAATCAAACCAGCGAACTCCCACTCTCTGGACGGACGCTCTAACCACTACACCACGGAGGCGGTTATGTTGTCTCAGTAAATACTGAGGACTAATAACTGATACTATATCCTTATGCATGATATGTCTAACAATGATATGATTTAAGTGATATGACAATGGTTAGCTCCCTCAGTCTGGCAACTTCAAAGATGTTCACAGATCCAAATACACATTTCGAAAGAATTCAAGGACATGGTCAAAACAAAAATTGGAAAAAAAAGGTCAAGATCATGAAAAAAAAGGAAAGCAATACAACTGAACTCCAAAAAAATTAACACATGGCTAATTTCTTTAGACTTTGAATCAAAATGAGTCGGTTATAGCCATAAACACATTTCTACATTCCAACCTCTTGAACAGACTTGGGTATCTACCAGGTGGAACCAAGCACTTAAACTTTAAAGATTCAGGTTTATTGGTTCAGTGGTATCCGAAGCTGATTACAATATATGGCGCACAATGCATGCATACCACATAAAAAGTCCACCATAAATGCTCACCTGACTTTTTAGTAAGGTGTGCTAAAACATGCTGACAACTGTGCCACCGTGAAGATATTTAATGAACAACTTGTGTAGGCCAGGTGCAAAGTCAAACAGATTTCAATGAACTGCATGTCAATGAACAATGAGAACTGATCCAAACCTGATGACTACTTCCGTGATTTCACACATCATATTGTGGACCATCACAACTATCTTATGTCTTACCTGGAACGAGCTTGTATTTCCCTGTCAGTACACATTGCAAATGTTTTAATTTGGCTAAGTATGAAAACATTACTAAAAGTAGGCAGCAGTATTAATTTTTCGTGTTTATCAGTAAAAATAAGTACTAGTGATCAGGGGCGTAGCTACCATTATAAAAAAAAGCCCAGGCTTACACATGATATTTGCTAAAAATGTTGGGCAAGCCTTCAAGTCTATCTAAATATACAGCTTTGAAACATATCAGGCTTACACAAAAAAATTGGCTTGCTACGCGCCTGGTGATAATAAACTAAGGGACCATCAATAATTTTTGGCTGGGAGGGTGGGGGGAGAGGAGTTGTATGATGATTTTTATGGAGAAGCATGTACAATGTGAATGCCCCCTAAAAATTATGTATAAAGTAAATGACCCCCCTGCATGTCATGTACAAAATCAATGAGTCACCAGGAGATGGCATAACACCAGTGTCACACATGCCACAGCCAATCACAACAGAGCACTCACCTTCTGGCCAGCCAATCAAAACAAAGCATCAGTGTCACACATGCCACAGCCAATCACAACAGGGCCCGATTTCTCGAAACAAACTTAAGTCTGAGTTTTGACTTAAAATAGAGTTTTCACTCAAATTTGAGAAAATGCATTTCCCACAATGAACTGAAATCGATATTAAACTCAAACATAGTAGACAATTTGAGTTTGGTGGATTGATTACTTAAGTTGTTTAGGCTTTTTTATCTTAAAAAAGCAGCTGAGTTAAAAATTCAGCTGTTTCAAATTGTCAAACTCAGTTTGAAATTTGAGTAAAAACTTAAGTTTGTTTCGAGAAATCGGGGCCAGAGCACTTAAAGTCTGGCAAGCCAATCACAACACAGCTTACAGTGTCACACATACCACAGCCAATCAGAACAGACTTTACACTCACCTTCTGGCCAGCCTTAATGAACTGGGAAAACCAGAGTCTCACTGCCTGGTCATTGCCTAGCAACAAACAGCTGACGAAGGAGACAAGTTCCTCCTCTGAGTGCGACACTTGTGCTACTTGGAGAGTTAGAGCTATTGCTAAGCCAGGCATTGTACAATGATGGACCTGGAAAAGAACACACGAAATGAGATTTTTGAACTCAAGACATTTCACTGCAAACTATTATCAACCAAACAAGTCCATTATGACAACCGATTTCACTTTCATGTGCTCCAACGACATGCAGGAGCATTGAGGAGTCCAGTAGTCTCTCTGTCTAGTAATATTTAACAAATAACTTTCACATGGTGCAAGTTCAAAATAACATGAACCTTTATAGAGTGAGGGTAAACACGAATTCAAATTAAAACTGTATACAGATGGCAGGTACAGATAATTAAAGTCACTTATAGCAGAGATATAGGTGAGTCTTGAGTCGTGCTTTGAATGTACTTATGGAAGGAGATGATTTTACCTAGATTGGGAGAGAGTTCCACAGAGAAGCTGCTGCATATGAACTAAAACTGTAAGTACCGTATATGACCATCTATAAGCTGAATTTTGAGGACCAAAAAAAGCAGTCTGTAGAAGGGGGTCGTCTTATCCATGGGTTACGCTTTCGTCAAACTTTTTTCCAGGGGTAAGAAAACAACATCGTATCACTTCGCGTGAACAAACAACAGAAGACGACTTTGTCAGTAGAGACGTCAAATTTGCAATTAAACATCACTAGACAAGATTATTTACCTTTCAAGTTATAAGTTGTTTTTGCTGGGCATTGTATTATATGCAGGGATTAAGATTACCATGCGTATTTGTCTCGTACACAAAGCAGGAAATAGCAATCAGCTGTGCACACGTTTCCCGGCGAACAAGTTCAAACATGCACAATAATATAACGGGACGAATTCTGACGCAGTCATCAGTAAAATATAATACAGAATACCGTTATTTAACCCAAAGAAATATATCCTAGCATTGTGTAATTTTAGTTACAGTTTTTGCTCTATAAATTAATTAAGATTACCGTGTGTATTTGAGCCGGAAATAGCAATCAGCTGTGCACACGTTTCCTGGCGAACAAGTTCAAACATGCTCAATAATATAACGGGATGAATTCTGACGCAGTCGTCAGTAAAATATAATACAGAATACTATTATTTACCCAAAGAAATATATCCTAGCATTGTGTAATTTTATTTACAGTTTTTATGTAAAATATATATAATCAACACTGAGGTTATACAGACCCTCATGAACGTGCTAAGCACATGGAATGGGGTAAAATACGGAAGCCACATAAATTCACACATTTTTACCGATGTTACTGTAAACTAGCAGTCAGTGGAAAACGAGGCGGTAATCAGTTCTTGATTGTTGAATGGGGTAAAATAAGCTAGCCAGTTTGTTGCTACAATAAATATGATATTTAGAGAAGCAAAATATATTATGCATTTTCTGTCAACTACACTTCATTTCGATCCGTGAGTAAACACAATATATATGACACTGAATTCTTTGAATAATGTGGACCAAAGTTATAATTATTGGTAACTGCCAGTTGTCTGTGGTCTGTGTTTGCCGCGATTAGGACCCCATCGCGGGGGATCGACTTATGCACGAAACATACCATTTTGACACTGATTTTAAGGGTCAAGTTTGGGGGTCGTCTTATCCATGGGGTCGTCTTATAGACGGTCATATACGGTAAGTGACTTATCATGCTTATATTTGGCTTATTGTCACATTAAACAGTATTTCAGCTATATCACTGGGTTAGCTGGATGTGGGTGTAAAGTGGGTGCTCTCTTTGTTGATCACTTTGGAGAAACCCAGGGGGAAAGATCTGAAGCTAACAAACCTGGAAACATAATTTGGGCAAACTGGGATTCAAACTCAACTCTGACCTAACTGTGAAGCCTGTGCCCACTGTGCCCCCAATAAAACACAATGGCACTTACACACATCCTCCTGACATTGAGTGCCTCCTTGGGGTTGACAGTACACAACATCCTTAGCATCTCCAGCCTCTGCCTGCCTCCCAGCGTCTCCTCGTCCACCCGCTCCCCCCGCGACACCAGGCTGCTACACACTGTAATACATGGTATTGTTATATTGCATTAAAGTGACTGACAGAATGAGTGAGTGAGTGAGTTAAGTTTTACGCGGCACTCAGCAATATTCCAGCTATATGGTGGCAGTCTGTACATAACCGAGTCTGGACCAGAAAATCCAGTGATCAACAGCATGAGCATCGATCTGCGCTCAACTGGGAACCAATGACATGTGTCCACCAAGCCAGCGAGCCTGACCACCTGATCCCGTTAGTCGCCTCTTATGACAAGCATGGGTTACTAAAAGCTCATTCTAACCTGGACCTTCACGGGTTGACTGACAGAATGACGGGTTCAAGACCTAATTACTAAAATTAGGAACCACATTTCCATCCTTCTGGGTTGTAAAGACCCGTGAAGATCTTGGTTAGAATTGATCTTCAGTAACCCATGCTTGTCGAAAGAGGCGACGAACGGGATCAGGTGATCAGGTTGCTGACCTGGTTGACATATGTCATCGTATCCAAGTTGCGTAGATAACTAACATGAAATATTTATCAAAGGTTCCTGACTTTATAAGCATGTGTCATAACTAACATGAAATATTTATCAAAGGTTCCTGACTTTATAAGCATGTGTCATATCTAACATGAAATATTTATCAATGGTTCCAGACTTTATAAGCATGTGTCATATCTAACATGAAATATTTATCAATGGTTCCAGACTTTATAAGCATGTGTCATAACTAACATGAAATATTTATCAAAGGTTCCTGACTTTATAAGCATGTGTCATATCTAACATGAAATATTTATCAAAGGTTCCTGACTTTATAAGCATGTGTCATATCTAACATGAAATATTTATCAATGGTTCCAGACTTTATAAGCATGTGTCATATCTAACATGAAATATTTATCAAAGGTTCCTGACTTTATAAGCATGTGTCATATCTAACATGAAATAGTTATCAATGGTTTCAGACTTTATAAGCATGTGTCATATCTAACATGAAATAGTTATCAATGGTTCCTGACTTTCTAAGCATGTGTCATATCTAACATGAAATAGTTATCAATGGTTCCAGACTTTCTAAGCATGTGTCATATCTAACATGAAATATTTATCAATGGTTCCAGACTTTATAAGCATGTGTCATATCTAACATGAAATAGTTATCAATGGTTCCAGACTTTCTTAGCATGTGTCATATCTAACATGAAATAGTTATCAATGGTTCCAGACTTTCTAAGCATGTGTCATATCTAACATGAAATATTTATAACTGTAGTAGCAAATTGTACCTATTGTGTGTAGATCAGGACAACAAGATCAGTGTATGTTTACTGTAACAGGTAAACCCAAAGAGACGCAGATAAGAGACATTAAGTTATGATGAAACCCACAAGCATGGAGTGAATTTGGTATTTAAACCAAAGATGGGGCAAATCCTCACAAGACCAACTATGGAATCTGTTTACTGCTATTCCCAGAGTAGTGTGAGGTTATTTGGGTGTTTGGAGTTAACTACTGCTGTGGAGGGGTACGTTCCACAACCTCAATAAAATTATTCTTATTCTCTGAGTTATACCAACCCCTATAGAAGATCTTGTCATGTGAATTTTCTAATTGGCCAAAGCTACATCTAGGCTTCAAAGAATGAATGAGGCATTCACAGAAATCTTTCAATATCACAAATTAAACATCTTTCAAAATCTTCACTCCAAATTTGGATTGGCTGAAGAACCAAGCAATCTTTCATTTAGATCAGGTGGTCACTGATGGCTGAGAGTTCAACTCACACAACCTCCTATAGAGCGGTTGTTGGAACTTCATGCAGAGAGGTACTGCATCGGAGCAAAAGATAGATTTGAGACTGTATGTTCAACTACCTGTCATAAAGCACTGTGGAGAATTGGCCACTAGCTGACAGAGCAACCAGGCTCCGTTCTTCACACACAGCAGAGCCTCAGCTAGCTCTGTCATCGGCAGAAGGTTCGGCAGCTCTACAAACATAGCTCATACATTATTACAGCTCATACATTGTTTCAGCTCATGCATTATCACAGCTTGTACGCTATTACATCTCATGCATTCTATTATTACACCTCATGCATTCTTGTTATTACAGCTCATGCATTATTACAGGTTATAAACTATTGCAGCTCATACATTATCGCTGTTCATGCATTATTACAACTCAAACACTATTACAGCTCATGCATTCTTAGTACTTCAGTTCATGCATTATTACAACTCAAACACCATTACAGCTCATGCATTCTTAGTATTACAGCTCTTGCATTATTAGTATTCCAGCTCTTGCATTATTACAACTCAAACACTATTACAGCTCATGCATTCTTTGTATTACAGCTCAAGCAAAATTACAGCTCATGCATTATTACAACTCAAACACTATTACAGCTCATGCATTATTACAATTCAAACACCAATACAGCCCATGCATTATTGTTAGTACAGTTCATGCATTATTACAGGTTATAAACTATTGCAACTCATGCATTGTTACCACTCATACACTGTTTCAGGTCATGCATTATTACCGCTCATACACTGCACGTTATTACAATTTCTCTATAAAGTATAAAGTATTCTACTACACTATATTCAGTACCATTTAGGATTAAACATGCACTCTCAGAGTGAGACAGTCTAATCCCAAATATAACATGCCATGTCATTTGACCACTTTCTAAATGGCATTGTATATTCACAGCCTTTGGCCATGGGAGACTTACTTATTTACATTGTCAGATGGGGTACACAAAGTATGTGACCTATTCTACCAGTTGCCAGACCTCCACGGGAAGCTACAGTGGCTTGCTGGATTACTGACTTTGTGCTGGAAATTACGTGCTCACGCTCAATTCTGAATGGGATTCAACCCCTAAAGAGTGAGTGAGTGAATTTAGTTTTACGCTTATTATTATTATTATCATTGGATATTTATATAGCGCACATATCCACGCACTAGTGCATGCTCAAGGCACTGGTATTTTTCCCCTCGGTCATTGGATGTCAATCTCAACGGCACATCTTAGTATCAATCTCAACTCCCTGGGGATCATACAAATCTTGCTACCACAAGGCGCACTGAGTTATTGCGGCTTTCCCATCCTTACGAGGTACCCAATTCACAGCTGGGTGGACTGGGACACATAGTCACAGTACTTTGTCCAAGTTTACTGCACGTTGCTGTACCCGCAACTAGGTGTTTGCACGTATTCATGTGGCCACCATCTGGTCATATACCAACGGATTCGTGGGTTCTTTTAAGTGCACTGGATTGTGTACTGTACACTAGGGGTTGTGACAACACTGAAAGAGTCTGCACACAAAGCTGACAAAGGATTTAAAAACCGGTCACAGGTGGGCTCCATCCTGGCACCTCATGCTCGCTGGATCACTAGTCTGGCTCCTTAGCCAGCTCGCCCACCATGCCCCCAAATAATATTGCTTTTAGCAATATTCCAGCAATATCACGGCGGGGAACACCAGAAATGGGCTTTACACATTGTGCTCATGTGGAGAATCGAACCCAGGCCTTCGGTGTGACGAGCGAACGCCTACCTTAACCACTAGAGGCTACCCCACCGACCCACAACCCAAAAGAACTAGAATCTAGGCTTTACTGAGAAAGTGTAATTCAAAACATAATTTTACGACTTTCTAAATGGAATTGTGTCTAAATACTAAAACATATTTGCATTGCCTACAGAAGTAAGATTCATACTGTTGTGCGACTGATTTGTTCAGTCAGAATTCGGGGCACACTTTTAGCAAGAAAAACAAATATTTAACAGTGAAAGCCAACTTAATTTTTTGTAGATTTCTCAAGTCAATATGCCAGCATTGTTTCAATCCCATGCATCTCCAAAACTGACTGACACTGGCAATATTTACAACACACTTGTCAACAAAACAATGTAATAAACTCGATTTGACACTGTGCAGGCATGTTGTACTCACCAGCTTGTGCTATACAGAGGACATCACACACTTCCTCAAGGTACACCTCACTCTCAAACAGCTCGCTCTGCTTCTGGTAGTTACCTCCCTTTGACTGTTCTTTTATCTGGGGAAAAGACACTCATTAATCCACGTATTTGAAGAACCTGAGAAACCTAGGCTATTTAATCCAGTAACAATAAACACTAAATTAAACACCAATTCTTTGCACAAACATAATCCATTCATATCACTGGCAACATGTACATTGTTGCATTGGCTGTTGTTGGAAAATATAGACATCAATTAGTCTGCCATTTTCTCTTTTAGTCTTATGATGTCACATCTACTATGCCTTCTTCAAGCTCCAGTCTTATTCTTACAATTATTATTACAAGTTTCCAACTCAAAAAAATGTTTTCATCATTTTCAAGTAACAACATAATGTCTGTAATAAAATTGCAAAATACATATTTCTCGTGTTTTGATAAAACGTAATTCCGTTTTCAAAGAAAAAACGGTTGTTTTAGCAACATCGTGCATTGTCTTGTTTATATCATATACAATGTACTGTAATATGATGTATAATTAAGTCATGTTTGTACTCAGCACTCCTGTCAAACAGTCATTACCATGCTCTGTAATGGTGGCCCCATACATGAATAAAATATCACTATCACTCTACTATGGCCCATGAAGGTCCAGGGTAGAATGAACCTTCAGAAACCCATGCTTGTCGTAAGAGGCGACTAATGGGATCGGGTGGTCAGGCTCGCTGACTTGGTTGACACATGTCATCGGTTCCCAATTGCGCAGATCGATGCTCATGCTGTTCATCACTGGATTGTCTGATCCAGACTCGACTATTTACAGACCACCGCAATATAGCTGGAATATTGCTGAGTGCGGCGTAAAACTAAACTCACTCACTCACTCTACTATGCCTTCTACAACATTCTTACACATAATTACATTTAACAGCTATTGATGACAAAATGGTATTGATGATGATTTCCTGCACAAAAATTACAACAACACAAAGTAGATGCAGAATGCTTGGACCATTATCAAACAGTGATGTGTCAAGTTAATAAACACATTGACAATTGATCCATTATCAAACAGTGATGTGTCAAGTTAATATACACATTGAAAAAAGTGAGTTTACATAAGTGATCCCCAAATATACTATCCTCCACAAAAAACATTGAAATTTGATCCTTTTAATTTTGACATTGTTTATTTCTATTGAACAAAAAAAAAACTGGCAGAAATACACCTGTACAAATTTATCAATCAGAACTGATCTATATTGTCAAACATATAATGTAGACAGGCTACTTTCTTTCATATTTTCTGAAAAATGTTTTGTAATTTAAGTGTGATATTACCCTTTCAACAACGCCAGCAACTGCCCACAGCAATTTTCTTGAGTATTTATCTAGATGTTCCAAGGAGTGAAAGCCTTTATGTGTAGTTTAGGTGCATGTCAAAAATCCAAGTCAGGTCAATTTTGTTTGTAATTTGTGCTCAGCTAATGACACACATATTAACACTATCTTTCAAAAGTAGTAAGTGAGTGAATTTGGTTTGACGTTGCTTTAAGCAATATTCCAGCAATATCATGGCGGGTACACCAGAAATGGGCTTCATATGTTGTGTCCATGTGGGGAATCGAACTCGGGCCTTCAGCGTGACGAGCAAATGCCTTAACCACTTGGCTACCCTCTTTCAGAAGGACAAGTTTGGTTTAGATGATATAATCATGAGACTATTTCCTAGATATCCTGCTCAAAGTGCACAATCTGATCATTATTACCCCAGATAACCCAAACTGCATGTTAGGTGCTGGAAGGTTAATAGTCTCACGACTTACTTCACCAGGTACCCATTTTCTGCTGGGTGAACAGAGGCAATTTTGAACAAACTCACTTGCCTAGAAACTCTCAGGAGTCAAGCTGCCAAACACAGTCATCCATCCAAGGACTCTCCACACCCAAAGTTGCTTAACTTCAACTGATTGTGACCTGAGCTCTATGCACAGGACCACACGCCACCACAAACTGATTATTGTTTGACACGGACTGACCACAGCACATATCCCAGTCTTTGTGACTGGGCAAGTTTATACACTCTGGAAACACATTCTGCACCCAGCCTCAGTTTAAACATCATGTTTTGTTTACCTCTGACATGATGTAAAGAAGTTCGCTGAGTAGTAATCGAATTCGTCTAGGTGCATCACTTCGTTCAAACTCCAGCGCCAGCCCATGATGCAGCTGTGACACAAGAATACTATCTCCTTGGTTACCCCCTAGTTTAGCTCTGAAAACAACAAGGATCTGAAGACTTAGCATGCTTTGAAATTCACACAGGTCCCTAGCCAAAAACTATGTGATTTATACTGAGGATATACAAAAGTTAATGATGGTGGTGCTTTCTGACTAGTACAGCTAAACCTGAACCATGTAAAGACACTGTCAATTTTATAAAAGTAGTAGTGTTGGAGTGATTGATTGAATAATCTGTCAATCGATCGATCCTGCTTCATCGGCAATTATTGATGACCTCAGGAGACTAATCAATATTCATAAAAAAATGAAACATCGTAATATATGTCAGAAAGTATGTTTCTCATTGTTATGTTTGTTAGCTCAAGACATAAACTGATGCAGTTTCTTGACTTGTAAAACTTAAATGTAAACAACATACCGACCCCTGTGTCAATACTGTCATTGCTTAAATAATTGCAAATCAATCAAAATTATAAATGTCAGAAATGAATTATCCCATATATCTTAAGGGATTTTATATGGGATAGTGCATTTCTGGCATTTGTAAAATATCAACTGATTTGGAAATATATATCCCAAAATGAGCTGAATTTGACGTTCTGGTAATTTCAACGATTGCATTGCTTGCGCTATATCGGGGGAGTAGGTGTGCGATCGGAGTGCACAGCAGTTTCATCGGTTGGGCGAATGCCCAGTCGCTGTCGTGAGAAGTTTTATTGACAATCGAAATCGGGAAGTTAAGCAAATAAACATCAGTATTATTTACTCGAGATCGTTAATACCACTTCCAATGCAAAATCAGTTGCCTTTATAACAAAAAATAGCATGCGAAAATTCAGTAAGATCAGTCGTCTGCTGGTGACAGGCAATATATAAATACAAAGCGGTAAGACTTCCAGCCGTATCCCCCTTAAATTTTAACGATGAGGAAAATTTTCTTTGAGTGGCATTGTTCCCTAATGTTAGAAGTTGGACATGTCTTTCAGTATGTTCAAGTAAAATTAAAGAAACATGTTAAAACTAATCCTTATCAGGTGAGGAATTATATTCAGGTGATATGATTTGACTAGACTGAAATTTAGGGGACGGGCGGAAGTCTTTCCTGAATATATCCTTTATCACTCAAGGTTAGTAAAATTAAAACTTTAAATGATATAACAGATGAAAATTGCGTTTTTGCTTTACTCCGTCGAAAACCCCTGACACCAGATAGATCTGCAATGCAGGGAGCCCTGTGCAGATAAAACAATCCTTTATGTTCCTAGGGGTTCGGACATTCAGATCTTAAGGGATAGTGCACCTGGTAAAGTACTACCCTTTAAGCCAACCCGTGATATATACTCATGACTGAATATATCCAGCTCACAGATAAAATAACTAATCTATTATTACCTTAATTGTTGTTCCTTTTTAACGTCTTGTTCTAAGGCATGAAAATCGATGGATAACAGAGCCACGATGCTGTTCACAACATCCAGGCCTGAGAGTATCTTCAAGACATCTTTTCTTGCTTTCGTCCAACTGTCACTAGTTTCTAAAGGGGAACACAATGCCATACGAACAAGGCTGACAAGCACCGGTCGAATGTCGGATTCGCTACATTCGCTCAAAGAGTCTATGTCTACACTTTGCATGGCCTGAAACACGACACATTTCACCGGTGAGCGCTGCTTCTTTCTGCCACTCATACCTATCTTCAAATCGTTCATATAATATTAAAAGTTTTAAAACGAATCTAGTTGTTTCTTGCCATTTCCGCTCTCTAAAATGTGATCCTAACTCCATGCACAGCTTGGCTATACTATTATTATTGGTAGCGAATCCTATGACTTTGAAAAAGGAGTTCACGTTTAGTCTTCCAAGGGAGATAAATATTCCTCTAGTCATTTTTGCATCGTAAATTTTTCAAGACAGGTTCGAATTCCTTCATGTGGGTTAATATTTTTTTACATGTAATGTTTTCATATTTGCCATTCACATGTGACCGATATGGTTTAGTGTTATGCATTTTACATTGTGTCTTCAGATAATTATTTCTACGTTTATGTGTTTTTACGCAGCACGGTATCAGTACCTCAATCTCAACTGCTCTGCATGTTCTTGCCCAAGATAAACCCATGATTAAACTGTTTTGTTCACCCGGCATACTCACTGGGCACGCGACAGTACAGCTTATATCACGGTAGTGTAAAATTATGAGTGACTTAAATATCCCTCATATGTATTCTGTATTGTACGACTTCAATACACTAGGTTTGAATTAAATGTGTACAATAAATATGTAGGTTATGTATAATTATCGATCCGAATCTTCACAAAATAGCTTAAATAGCCATGAGTTATCATTAAAATATTTTATCACATCGGGTGGGTAAATGAATTTAATATGTGGATAAGTATTGTTTTAATTTAGGATGTTTTATCAGCATTTTAAAATAGCATAGCATAGCATATTTGTAAAGCGCGTATCCATGCTTATGCATGCTCAAAGCGCACAAATAAAAATGCAAGTACGGCAAAGAGCTACAGTTCAAAGGCTATCTTGAACATATGTGTTTTTAGATTGGATTTAAATGTATGAAATTCAAAACAGTCTCTGAGACTCTGTGGGAGACTGTTCCAGGCCATTGATCCTGTATGGACAAAGCACCTGTTTTCATACTGCGCTGTCTTTACTTTGGGTACAAAACAATCAAGTTCTTATCCTGTGAGCGAAGAGATCGGGAAGTTAGAAGATTGGATAGATAGGAAGGCGCAGTTCCAGTGAAATAGTCTATGTAAAGCTCGGATTCCGATGTAATGCCTGCGAATCACAACACGTGGCACGTACTGTACTCAATATATTATCTATATAAATACAATAGTGTATTGGATCAATATGGCATTAAGACAAATGTTACAAGTTTGATTGAGTGAATGAGTTAGTTTTACGCCGCTTTTAGCATTATCAGGCGGGGAATACCACAAACGGGCTTCACACATTGTAACCATGTAGAGAATCGAACCCGGGACTTCGACGTAACGAGCGAACGCGTTAACCACTAGGCTACCCCACCGCCCCTACAAGTTTGAAATGAAGCTCTTGTATTACATACACAGCTTAGGCACTGCTTTGTCTATATTTGTGTAATAGTATCCAATATTTATCTTAAGGTTATGATCACATATAACTGTGTTATATCATTCCGTCGTAAAATATTGCATAAACAGAACGCTAGGCATATCATATATATAACATGTACATACATGTATACATGTACGTGTACTTTGTAACAGAGTCGACCGGGTTAGAACTGATCTTCAGAAACCCATGCTTGTCGTAAGAGGCGACTATGGGGATCGGGTGGCCAGGCTCCATGACGTGGTTGACATTATATATGCCATCGTATCCCAATTGCGTATATCGATGTTCATGCTGTTGAACACTGGAATGTCTGGTCCACACTCGATTATTTACAGACTGCCGCCATATAGCTGGAATAAAGTGCGGCGTTAAACTAAACTCACTCACTCACTTTCGAGATCTTCAAAACAACAACATGGACCGACATAGGTTTAGGGCCTGTTGGCTCGTTTGCCTGCATTTTCCCCTCTGGGCTACACAAGTTTGGTGTTTTCACGTTACGTTTCTAAGAGGTATTTTCTAGGGGTGGGTATTGCAGAGAATTTTCATATTGCGATATATTGCGATGCGAAAGCATATATTGCGATATGTATTGCAATATATTGCAAGAAGTATTTTAAACATAAAACTACTTAAAATCGAGTTAATGCTTGATTTATAAAGCAAAAACACAACAAAATAACTATGCTTGATTAAGCGTTAACAACAACCTTTAATCATGACAAAATAAAAATGTAAATAATATTTGGCACAACCGAAACAAGGAAATATCCGAAGATTCCCGAGTGTTACGAAGTTTTCCGAATGCAAGTCGAAATACCGGTTTTTGATCAGCGTATCGCAATACGTATCGTTTTCATGTCTGAACCGGTAAATACCGGTAAACCGGTTATATTGCGCAGCCCTAGTATTTTCCAACTGTGCCTACCCAATGTCAAGGAAGTAATATATTTAGATTTGGCGGAAGTAGACCGTATAATCTAAAGCGACCGCCTTCTTTTTTGTTCCAGTTCGTTTGTCTTTATCAGTTACACCATTTTTCGGCTTCTTTGAATTCTTCTTTCACAGTTCATACCCTAACGATCCGAAAAAGATATAGTCTATCCTTTATAGAAGATATTAAACCTTTATGAAATAACAATAACACGAGCAAAATACTCATTCAACCAGCTCCGATTTGTATCATGTTTCCCTTCGAATAAGAACATATTTTGGAAATATTTCCACTTCTCGTGTACATTCAATATTAAGTGTAAGAACTCATGTCTTCTCCGATATTTTCCAACTCCCTTTGTCAAGGAAAGTAAAGGTGACATGTAAAAATGTCTTGGTTCTATATATATTAGGCCTGATCGTGTTCCTTGGTTTCTCCGTGGGTGGTGACGTCTGACACCTGTTCCAGATCGAGATTCCCTCTCACACCAGGCTGGAAGACATGGATATTACTGAAATGTCAGTGACACCAGTGCTGTATTTATACATTCGAGCTAAATTAAACCAGTACTTGTCAACACCAAAAATAATTGCCATTGATAGGTTGAACTTGAATGAACCCTTGAATGTGTTGAAGACCTTTCAAACAAGTAAGACGCTCTATTCGTTGGCGTATCAACCTACTCTGAAGACATCTAGTTAAAACTGTCAATGGCAAGTGTTTTTGGTGTTGACAAGACCACAGAATCCCCGAAGCCTACTTTTCTTGGTTCTAATTACAGATTCGACCTGATCATGTTCTTTGGTTTCACTCACTCACTCACTCAAACTCACTCACACTCACTCACTCACTCACTCTGTGTATATATAGATATATATGTGTGTGTGTGTGTGCGTGTGTGTTTATGTTTGACACGACACGAACTTGTATTTCTTTAAATAATGACATTTGATCTGTCTACACAATACATCTTTTATTATGTACAAAAGCCTCTCACGAAACACCATGTTAAATTCACATCATAAACATGTTAATTTAGAACATTCACCTCGTCTTATCACAAATACATGGAATATGGTGATATCACAATCTCATTTTAAGACCTGAACATATGTATTGTCATAAAGAAGGGAGGCAACTGAAGCGAGCCTAAATTAGCATTACATTTGGAACTTTTGTCATTCAACTTTCTTAATGTTCAGGCAAGAAGAGGCCGAATCATAGTATGTCACGTCAATATAAGGTGTGTTTGTATAAAAGAAAAGCTTTCCACAAGATCTGCAATCCCGCGACGAAGACGACCCTTGTCTTCTGCTTGTGATGTGTCCCTAGATTTGACGTAATAACTACAGCCGTATCAAAGTTTCCATCATCTGAGAGTGAATGTCGTTGACATTCTATGACTCAATGCTGTTTGACATATGTGCAATGTTTTATTTTGTAAAGTAATAAAGATATAAAAAAACATATTTCAACGCCGCCAGGGTCCGCATCAAAAACGGCGACCATTTGTGAACTTCCTGACGGTCCTTGACTTGTCTTCGCCATACTTCAAACAGATGAACCACCACCTGGAACACAACAACAGAGGGTGTTTATAAATGGAGACTGGAACACATTAGCTACCCCAACAACAGGTGATGGTTACAAGTGGAGACGGGAACACATTAGCTACACCAACAACAGGTGATGGCTACAAGTGGTGACTGGAACACATTAGCTACACCAACAACAGGTGATGGTTACAAGTGGAGACTGGAACACATTAGCTACACCAACAACAGGTGATGGTTACAAGTGGTGACTGGAACACATTAGCTACACCAGCAACAGGTGATGGTTACAAGTGGTGACTGGAACACATTAGCTACACCAACAATAGGTGATGGTTACAAGCTGGGTCGGGAACACATTAGCTACACCAGCAACAGGTGATGGTTACAAGTGGAGTTGGGAACACATTAGCTACACCAGCAACAGGTGATGGCTACAAGTGGAGACTGGAACACATTAGCTACACCAACAACAGGTGATGGTTACAAGCTGGGTCGGGAACACATTAGCTACACCAGCAACAGGTGATGGTTACAAGTGGAGACTGGAACACATTAGCTACACCAACAACAGGTGATGGCTACAAGTGGTGTCTGGAACACATTAGCTACACCAACAACAGGTGATGGCTACAAGTGGTGTCTCGAACACATTAGCTACACCAGCAACAGGTGATGGTTACAAGTGGTGTCTGGAACACATTAGCTACACCAGCAACAGGTGATGGCTACAAGTGGTGTCTCGAACACATTAGCTACACCAACAACAGGTGATGGCTACAAGTGGTGTCTGGAACACATTAGCTACACCAACAACAGGTGATGGCTACAAGTGGTGTCTCGAACACATTAGCTACACCAGCAACAGGTGATGGTTACAAGTGGTGACTGGAACACATTAGCTACACCAGCAACAGGTGATGGTTACAAGTGGAGACGGGAACACATTAGCTACACCAGCAACAGGTGATGGTTACAAGTGGAGACGGGAACACATTAGCTACACCAGCAACAGGTGATGGTTACAAGCTGGGTCGGGAACACATTAGCTACACCAACAACAGGTGATGGTTACGAGTGGAGACTGGAACACATTAGCTACACCAACAACAGGTGATGGTTACAAACTGGGTCGGGAACACATTAGCCATACCAACAACAGGTGATGGTTACGAGTGGTGTCGGGAACACATTTGCTACACCAGCATATGTGATGGTTACAAGTGGAGACTGGAACACATAGCTACACCAACAACAGGTGATGGTTACAAGTTGAATTTCAGATTGAAACGTTTATCTCCATCCTATTAAGACAAGTACTCTAAACCCCTTCCCTACCACAGGATTGGAACACCTCTCTTGCCGGTAATCTGGGCACATATTAGACCACAGATGAACATTAGAAAAGACTGTTATCTACAAAAATAGTTGGGTGTAGGGGCAGATGATGCGAGACAGTGTATTGTATGTCTGACTGTACGTAGTAAAGCGAGTTGATTACCATAGAGCTCCTTGTTTCAATCTTTTGGTCGAGTTTTTCAATCCGACTTATTCTTTTTTAAGATCTCTCTTTCCGGTAATCAAGCACAGAAATCCTCTTGTTCTTGAGCTGGGAATCATCAATCAGTCCAACACAATCTGGACACATATTAGAGCACAGATGAACATTAGAAAGTACGGTGTTCTATTATCGTTTAGCTAGGAAAATAGGGAAGTGTATGGAGAGATGTATTGTATGTCTGGCAGTTCCCAGTAAGCCGAGTTGATTACCATAGCGCCCCTTGTTTCAATCTTTTGGTCGAGTTTTTCAAAAGACGACTTATTGGTGGCGAATGCTGCCAGTGTGTGTATCATAACACGAAGGTACAATACACTGGGTAATCTATAAAAACCAAAGCTTGAAGGTCAGTCGAGATATGTTCTGGACAAATGACTTGTACACCAGGGCCCCGTTCTTCAAAGCGATCGTAGCGCTACGACAGTCGTAAGTCTATGTTAAAGTATGGGAGTTACGACTGTCGTAGCGCTACGATCGCTTTGAGGAACGGGGCCCAGGTCGTAAACAGTCATTGATTTCAGATTAACCCTGATTTTGTTTCTTGGTTTGCCACCAACTTACCAGTGCTGGAGATACTTCTCGAGGTTTTCCTCCCAATAAGACACGTCGTAGTTTTACAGGTACAGTGGAAACCGCCTAAGTAAAGACCGCTTAACTAAACAGACCTCATAAGTAAACACTTTTCGTTGGTCCCGGCAAATTTCTTCATTAATTATCACTATTAGAGTCTGGTTAACTAAACTCGGATAAGTAAACAATACCGCTTAACTAAACGTCTCTCACGGTCCCTGTATATGTGTTCCCAATTCACTCACTAAGTGGTCACCAACGCCAAACCATCATCCAGTTAGCTCACCTTGTTCACACATTACACAAAACAACCTTTATACGTTTATTGTCATTCTGAAACAAATGTGATACGATGGTTCTGGGATTGCCTCATTCATTGAGTGAGTGAGCATGAGTTTAGGCCGTTTTAGCAATATTCCAGCAATGTCACGTCGTGGGACACCAGAAATGGGTTCACACATACTACAAGGAGAATCAAACCCGGGCCTTCGTGACGAGTGAACCCTTGAATCACCAGGCTAATCAATAATTTTTGCCAGATGACACATTGGTGTTATGAGTGAGCTGGTCCAGCATGTCACTGACAAATTTCTTAAAATATCTGAATATAAAAGTGACACTATCCCGTCACGAGGATCTATGGATCAAGGAATTTTAACTCACTCCCTCACTCTATTGTGTGTTTATGAATCTAAGACATTGAAATGTAGTTTAAATTATCAGCTTCAAATGTGATAAATGGTTGGCACCAGGCTGTTCAATAATATGTTTATTCACAACACATAACGGCAATTACGTGTGAAAAGGTGTGTCTATTTGTCACAAACCATTTATTTATTGTTTTTCCTCACTGTTTAAAACAATCGTGACAATGTAATTTGTTACACAGGTGCGAAAGTATGCAACACTTCATCACTAGCTATATCATAAACTGGTTTGTTGTATTATATATCATATGAAAACCAGAGAAAAATGTCCACAAATGTCTTTTTAATAACCACCAACAAGTGAGTAAATGACTAAGATCATGAAAGATCACCACACAGATTATTATGAATTGTACATCGGACACAGGTTAATCGTTGTTTATCTGTACCTTTGGTCCACATGTTACTGTGTATATAGCCACATTGAATTTTGCTATGAGAGCACAACATTGTCCCAAATGAAATTTCTCTGACCCAAGCACCAGTTGAAACTTCGTTCTTCCTGTTCAGGTTTTAGGAGCGACGGTGGAATTCCTCGTGATTTCTGACAGTCATTTGAATATGTTTGCATTGTAATGTTTCTTACGAAACACGACCTGTTCCTCTAATTATCCATTTATTTCTGTTGTGTCCGAGACGCCAATATACCAGGTTTCTTTCTGTCCCATCAGTCTATTTCTTTGGTCGACCTGCTACTTTTTTTTCTGCTCAGCTCCATCTCCATCTCAAACTTGCATGTTTTCAAAGGACCATATCAGCAGTGGTGATGTTTGCAGTCTGTTTTTCCCTAACGGGAACAAATTCTGCCCATACTTTACAAATATACCCTGCAGTGTTATCTACTTGGAATCCAAGTCCAAATACCTTCCACATACACCTTTGATGTAGCTTATGATATTGACTCGATCACAAAAGTATGAAAAATGTAAATTTTCGGTCAAATTATGTTTATCGGGGATGCAATCATTTGAGAAAATAATGAACATTGGTTTTAACTAATTAAAGATTATTCCTGGTAAAGAATCTTGTCCACGTGTTCTAATTCAGTTCACCTGTTTTGTTTTCGGTACATTGTACTTACATTAACTTTCTACACAGATCATAGAATTTGGGTAACTGTTTACAGATGCTACACAAGGTAGAGAAACAAAACCCCTTGAAGTTCCAGACAGATGTAACTTGTCACCGCCAGAGAATCATTCTCAATTACCTGCCAAAACGTTTTCCATTGGAAGTCGTAGGTTTTAAGATTGGTAAAATAGCAAAATGAGAGGCCTATCATGTACGATGCATCCATATACAATAGAATAAGTAACTGATACAATCTGGGCATGTTATATGTTCGACATTGTTTAAAGAGGACAGTATGGTGACTGTAGCCTGTATGAACTAGAAAGGAGCGACATTGTATCTGAACTGCACTGATGGCAAAGTGCAATGGAAGCCTTTGAGAGAGCCGCAGTCCGTTCTCTACTGCCGTCGTACTTTAGCTAACTAACAGGTATTACTTTCTAATATCGCAAAAAGTATGGCAATGGCGATATCGTTATCTCAGATTATACAATAAACATCCATATTATCTGAACTCCACTGATGGCAAGTGCAATGCAGCCTTTGAGAGAGGCGCAGTCAGAGCAGTTATTAGTTTCTAATTTCGCAGAAAGTACGCAAATCTTTATTTGAAATTATACAATTAACATCCATATTAGATAACTTAGACAAGTATCAGTTCATGATATCCCAGGACATAAACCAAAAACTGATATTACTACCTCAGGTTTTGAGCTGAAGAGAAATCAGGCCCAAGAACGTGTCGCACCAGCAAAACTCGCAGTCTGATGGTTTGTAAAATGTTTGTAACTACTTAAAATAATATGAGTTTCCGTGTGTCCCTACCTTTTAATACACGTCTGGGGATGTCCGTACCCCATGCACTTGATACTCAGCAGATTAAAGTATATCTTGCCAACGTTGACAGCAGCATCGTCCGGAGACGCTTTCAGACACTGATAAAACTTCTCGTCACAGGCACAGTCAAACCTTAAACGACAAGACACACTACAAGTATTTTAAGTGTCTGAGTGACCTTTGTAATTTGTCAAAACAGTTTATATTTCTTGAATCAATTGTTTCTTTTCTTTCGGCTCTAACATGTATTTTTTTCCTTCGCGTTTCTTCTGTATCAGGATGCCGCTCAAGGACGAGGTGAGGTGAGGTGAGGTGAGGTGAAATTGGGTTTAACATCGTGCTTGAGAATATTTCGCTCATATGACGACGTGCATGCGTGTGTTGTGTATGTGCGGCTGCTTGTACTAGCCCAGACTTAAGCTGGTTTTATAGTGCTAGCCCACTAAAATACCATGCCGCAGTGAAGCATGAATACCCCACTCGAACGCATTGTACTGACTCAGAGCCGACCAGTCCTTGTTGTACCCATTAATGCCGAGCGCCAGACAGGGACCAACAAGTACCATATTTTAACGTCTTTTGGTATGACGCGGTCGGGGATCGAACCTGCGACCTTCCGCTCTCCGGGCGGATGCTCTAACCACTACACCACAGAAGCGGTCATATGTATGTGAAGGTACATCACATTCATATTCATTCATATTTATATTCATTTAACAACGTCAAAAGGATATCAGAGTATAACATGAATATATTTTAATGTAGTTAACCTAAATATTTATAACATAAAAGCATATTTTTAATGTGCATATATCCATGCTTATGCATCCTCAAAGCGCACAAAATAAAAATGCAATTATGGCACAGAGCTACAGTTGAAAGGCAATCTTGATCATGAGTGTTTTTAGATTGGATTTAAAGGTTTAAAAATCACAACAGTCTCTAAGACTCTGCGTGAGGCTGTTCCGGGCCATTGATCCTGCATGGACAAAGGACCTGTTTCCACACATCACTGTCTTCACTTTGGGAACAACAAGCTAGTTATCAAATACATTCAAGGATTGTTGTATGAATTACATTGACTATATATACATATGCATCGCTCATATGACGACGTGCATGCGTGTGTATGTGTATGTGCGGCTGCTTGTACTAGCCCAGATTTAAGCTGGTTTTATAGTGCTAGCCCACTGAGATACCATACCGCAGTGAAGCATGAACACCCCACTCAGACACATTATACTGACTCCGAGCCGACCAGTCCTTGTTGTACCCATTAATGCCGAGCGCCAGGCAGGGACCAACAAGTACCATATTTTAACGTCTTTTGGTATGACGCGGTCGGGGATCGAACCCGCGACCTTCCGCTCTCCGGGCGGACGCTCTAACCACTACACCACGGAGGCGGTCCAGCTCAAGGATGAGACCCATCGCTCGTTTATTTTAGCCGCTAAAGAAATTATAATCTGTCCATGTACAATTATATTAGTCTCGATAGTTGAACATCCTTTCCTTGACATGGCATTTAGAAGTGATGCAATGTACACATAAGGAAGAGAAATTTTATAGATGTTACCTTCTTTATTATGAGGAACAAAACGTTTTGGAGTATATCCTTACTCCTTCATCAGGTGAATGATTCAATTTATGGAGGAGTAAGGATATACTCCGAAACGTTGTGTTCCCTTATGATAAGGGGCGGTGGGGTGGCCTAGTGGTTAAAGCGTTGGCTCGTCACGCCGAAGATCCGGGTTCGATTCCCCACATGGGCACAATGTGTGAAGCCCATTTCTGGTGTCCCCCGCCGTGATATTGCTGGAATATTGCTAAAAGCGGCGTAAAACTAAACTCAGTCAGTCAGTCAGTCCCTTATGATAAAGAAGTTGACATCCATAAAAACTCTCTTCCTCGAACATCCTTGTTTGATATGATTGATGGAAACGTTTCGGGAAATTAACACATGCCATTCAGCTTTTCCTTGAAACTCGATAACTGAAATTGGTTCAAAACGACGTTTAAAAATACTCACTCACTCACTCTCACACTCCCTATACTATGACTGTACCTGGTATACAAGGCGAAGTTGTAGAGGCCATACTTCGACGCGAAGGGGAGTATGTAGTCTGGGCAGTAGTCGTGCTGACGGCAGCAGGCGTCGGTGTAGTTGTGAACACCCAGCTCGCCGGAAGGACTGGAGATGTTGCCAATGCCGCACCACTTGGTTCCTGGTGAAGAGAGACGTGGACATTGGAATTACTTGATTACTTGACCGTCACATGCTAAATCAGTAACATTGATCTTGGTGGAACACAACACGCGAGCTGCAAAATATACAGTCATATCATTGGTCAGTGTTGCACTCAGATATGCATCAGTTACATTGATCCGGGTGGAACACAACACGCGAGCTGCAAATATACAGCCATATCATTGGTCAGTGTTGCACTCAGAAATGCATCAGTTACATTGATCTGGGTGGAACACAACACGCGAGCTGCAAATATACAGCCATATCATTGGCCAGTGTTGCACTCAGATATATTACATTGATCCATACGCGAGCTGCAATATGGTCATATCATTGGTCAGTGTTGCACTCAGATATGCATCAGTTACATTGATCTGGGTGGAACACAACACGCGAGCTGCAAATATATACATATCATTGGCCATCACTTATGGTTACAGATGTTGCAACTCAGATGCAATATATACAGTCATATCATTGGTCAGTGTTGCACTCAGAAATGCATCAGTTACATGGAATGCATATAAAATATTGCCCATTTATGGTATTTATTGTTTTCAAGTCATAACATGAATAAACTAACACAGTTAGTAGTTCGAGGCATGATTTGCAGATGATAAGTCATTCTAATTCTCCTTTAATTATGAACACACAATGCCATTCAGAAGGTAAGCAAATGTGATGTACAGACCCACACCCTCATAGTCAGGCACCCGACTTTCATGTTTCGTGGAAGCTGCGATGGCTGGGTGGGCTGGACGGCTGAGTGCTGGCGAATGGGTGCTGGCTTTGAGGGTGTGAGTTTGATTCCAGGATGGGGACTCAACCCTTCAAAAGTACTAGAGTCTGTACTATGCTGAGAAAGTGTAATCCCAAATATAGCATATGCTTCTCCTTAAATTACATGTAGTTCATTATGTACACAGGTTCTGGCGTAAGACATCGGTTGACACACCTTTACTCAGCTTCCCAATCTTTTTTCTCACATATTTGACACCAAAGTGCAGCAGAAATGCACCTTTGACTAATTGTTTGGTTTATTAGAAGTCCCCCCAATGGTGGCTCTCCTGGCATCCGAGGACATGATGGCCTAACCTTTCAAGCTGGTGGGACAGCCTTTACCTTCTTTGGTGGTTGTGCTTGTGGTGGCAGTATGGGTGTTTTGACTTGGGTTGTCCTTGTGAACACAATGTTCATCCATAGACGCAAATCGTTCATGTGTGTGTGTTGCTCAGTCCTCATGAATAATGCTATGACCGTTACCATATGTTATCTTACCTGGGTATATGGCGGCAAATCTCTTCCTTCTCAGGGGACTGTCGTCCAAGGTCAGGTGAAACTCGTGACATTTTTCAATATACAGGTCAAGGTCACTTTTATTGATCTCCTCTATCTTTTCTGCTGAGACTTCTTTCAAATATTTCCAACCACGTTCCTGGAATAAAAATACATTGCACGTGTTCAATGGAACCTCAATGTAGCACTTATATATCAAGCTCTACTTATATTGTCTTCACATGGTGGGTGGGTGGATGTGTATGGTTGAGTGTGTATTGTGAGTTGTGGGTATATGCCGTTGGTTCTGAGTAAAATGAAAACCAAAAATACAGTCAGGGAAAAAGCTTTGAAAGAAATGGAAAATATCGTGTTGACGCTGATCGTAAACCTGCTACATTAAGTACACAGACGTCACGTTGAATAGTAGTCATTGTTTGGTTAATGAGCCTTTCAAGAGTATCTCAGATACATCACAACATGCCTTTGATGTTGGATGTACAAACAAACATCGAAACATAATCAAGGCAGGAACAAAAAACTATATTAAATGAGTGAGTTACAGTCGCATTGGCAATGTTTCAGCCATGTCGTGACTTTAATTACATTTTCATAATAAATGCAAGTAAATTATAAAAATGACTGTCGACGAAGAACAGTAAAATTACTACTAAAGTAGTAGATTATCACAGATAGAGAATTAAAACTAGCATATAACTGTAAAATTTGTAAAATAAATATGAACAATACAATATATAAAAACGGGCAAGAGATCACCAACAACTGAAGGTAGGTCACCATACAAGGGACCATGGGGACTTACATTACCGTTGCTACCTGCATGCACCCGAGTTGGATTTACACCATCCCTTCAGCCGCTGCGAGTGTAGGAACATTTAGCCATAATTTAAAATAACACAAATACTACGTTTAAAAAATCTGGTAAGTATAAATTTACTTTGAAAGTTTTGGGACTTACGTACTTCCACAACTATATAGCGCAGCCAGTGAATTACAGCAGCTCAGACAACGCAGCCCCAAACACCAACCCACCGATACCCACCCACCCCGGTACCCACCCCGGTACCCACCCCAGGGAGGCTGAAGGTTTCTTCTTGTATTTCACAGGTTTGAAATAGTTTCAGATAGTCCTATTCTAAACAAAAACAGTTGTTACTATGACAACGGTGACATGGCTACAAAATGTCACAAGAACATACACTGATGACCTTTTGACGGTTGATAACAGTCAACAAACCCCCAGCTCTTCCATGCGTGGTGTGGTGGGTGAAGCTTCTGCCTACAGAGGTAAGGTCGGCGTTCCGAACCTTTGTCCGCGTCATACCAAACGAATTATACCATGGTATTTGTTAATAACCTGTCTAGAAGTCGACACTAAGGTATGAAACAAACAGTAGGCAGCTCAGAGTCGGTGTGGTATGTTTCAGATTGGGATATTCATGTTTAACTGCAGCATGGTAATATCAAAGAGCTGGCACTATAAACCAGGCAAAAGGCTGTACCGGTGAACAGACCTATCCCACCCTTCACACGTTTGCAATTTAACGGCTGTATACATGGCAAGAATTTATCGTATTTTAGATGATAGCGTATTTCATTTATGTAAAAGACACCGCCTTGTTTTAAAAATGCAACCGGTATTAAACACACAATGCATTTGTCTTTCCAGAGAGACATGTTCGTCTTATCTAGTGACATTACAGCATGTGAAACAAGCATGACGAATCTTTTGTTCACTGCGATAGCTCAGTACTCAAGGGTCAGTGGGCACAGCACAATGTTTGTTTGTCCTAAAAGCAGAACAAATAATTTTTGTACAAGCACAGCCTATACTTCAGAGTCAATGTTTGTTCCATTTATGATCAAAACGACCGCGTTTCAGATTGTAGCCATGGACATTAACATGTGCAGATATAATCTTCAGGGAGTAATACATTGCAGACGTCTCTATATCACGCAGTTTGATGCACTCGACTGCGCTTTGACAATACTGTAGAGTGTGTCTGTTGTTGTATTTCTTATCTTTTGTTTGGAAACTTTGATTTCTGTTGGAGTAATGTCATCTACTTGAGATTATTTTGAACACATTTGCAGTATACTTTTTTTAAAAAGGTAATTGAGTTTATGTTGTGTTCATTGTGAATCCTGCATTCTAAAATGTAGCTCTGGTCACGTGTTAGTGCAATCATTTACATATTTAACATAAATATTTAAGTCATGCCCACCAACTACAGAGATTAGGTGCGCAGCAAGCCAATGTTTTCGTGTCAGCCCGATAGGTTACAAAGCTTTATGTTCAGATAGTATTGAGTGCTTGCCCAACCTTTTAGCAACAATCACGTGTAAGCCCGGGCTTTTTGTACAATGGTAGCTAAGCCCCCTGGAGATTCCCTGTTACACCGAGGGAATTCCCAACATATTTATATCAATCAATCAGTTTATTGCATGAAGGCCAGAGGCCCATATACAAAATAAATATGTATGATATGTACAACATATACAACATGCGACACACACGTTACATTGAATCTCTTTTCAATAAAAGCGCGTAATAAATAAATAGAGCTACCTTATATTGTAATAGGGATGCTTTACATGAAAGTATTGAATACAGTTTTGTAGCATTAATATTTGATTGTAGCCATTGTGGAAAATACAGTTGCCTTAAATCATTATATGCAGGACAAAGAAATAGAAAGTGTAATTCATTCTCTACAGTATTACAAAATGGACAGAACCTTTGTGATTTTATAATAGATGAATATCTTCCTTGATTGATATATAAATCATTAAGGCCAAGTATACACTTCCAGGATCTTCAAAACCAACACTACCCATGTATTGAAGCCGAAGTCCCATAAAGAAATGAAACAACATCGGAGCCGTTACTGTTGGCTCGCTCTGCAGCATTTTACCCGTCGTCTTGGCTACCCAAATTGTATTTTTGACATGCATTTTCTTACTGTGCCTACCCGTTCCCAAGCAGACAATATGATTTAATCTTGGTATTTCTCATGGTGTGTATTTTTCCAGTTTATTTTTCTTATCCTGCGTTGGTTAATCAAGCTTATCATTTCTCGGATTCTTTGATTTATATAGTTTGTTATATTAAACTGTCGTAGCGCCATATGTTGTCTTTGTACAGTTTCACAGGATTGACTCTGTATTTGTGTTTTCGTTTCCTCAGAATGGGTAGAAGCGATCTGCAAACATTTGAAATAATCAACAAAACGGGTGTATACAGTTTGAACATCGGTAGCGTACTCTCACAGTTTGCACAGTTATAGTGTATCTTTTATAGAAGAAATCAAACCTTTATGAAATAATAGTAACATGAGCAAAACATACATTAAACCAACTCCGATTTGTATCATGTTTCCCGTTGTATAAGCATGTAAATATTTACTTCTCGTGCACATGCAATAGTAATGGTCTCACCTTTTTGTAAACCGTAAACGCATAGCAACGTACTCCTTATAACACCTAATTTGAACTATCCATGACAAGTGGCTATTAACACCTGCACCACATCAATATTTGCTCTCACACTAACCAGAGGGCATGCCTAACCTAAAATGTACACACACACACACACACACACACACAAATGTCAATGATTGCTAGACCTTTAAATGCAAACACACATACACAAACACGCACACACACGCACACACACACACACATATATATATATATATATATATATATATATATATATAAATAGAAAAATAAAAACAGAATGCCTTTTTTCTCCAGGGAGATGTTTCGTTCTTTACTCTTCAGGGGAGATTGAAGAGGTTAAGAAGCCGAAACAATCTCCTAAAAAAGGGCATTCGGTTTTTATTTATCTATGCAATATTTATGACTGAACACCTGTACTACTTTGGACATTTTGTGCGTATATATATATATATATTTTATATACAGTGTACAATTATATACGCAAAATTGACGTACGTTATATATATATATATAGGAAAGTGATTAGAATACCGAGCGTACAGTGGTACATATATATGAAGAAGTTTCTGAAATAATCACACGACACGGATCTTCTCCAACATGTTTATTGTCTGGTCCAGATTCGATTATTTACAGACCGCCGCCATATAGCTGGAATATTGCTGAGTGCCGCGTAAAACTAAACTCACTCACTCACTCACTCCAACATGTTTAACTTTTATCTTCAGGGAGAAGTGGAGATAAAAGTGAAACATGTTGGAGAAGATCCGTGTCGTGTGATTATTTCAGAAACTTCTTATATATATATACATATATATCATTGTACATACGTACAAATACACACACATATGTATATATACATGTACTAGTATATGTGTGTGTGTGTGTGTGTGTGTATTTGTATGTATGTACACTGACATGTATAGGACATTGTTAATGCACACACACGCACACACTTAAAGACACTTAAAATGCATGTGTGCATGTGTGCAGTGTTCTGATGTACTTTGCACACATTCGCCAACCGCGGTATGCCTAAGGACCGCCATAAAGGTGACACGCCACATCACCTAACATACAGGTACGTGAAGTCGCTTCGTAATAAGGCTACGATGGGGGAACAACCTTGTGTTAACAGTCCTTGTGTTTGGCTGTGTGAGGTCAGTCAACGCTATAGTTTACGTACGCCTTATTGACACGGACTTCAACATTAATGTGATACCGGGCAATGCTGTGCCTTCGGAATGTGGATTATAAGGAAGATCAGGGCAAGTCCTCTATAATATGTATATTATAAGTTGTATGCTTCTCTCGAGGGTAATACGGTCTGATGTACGCCTCTTTGTAGTAGTGTCACCCGAGCCGGTAGGCGAGGTATGACACTGCTACAAAGAGGCGTACATCAGACCGTATTACCCGAGGGAGAAGCATACAACGTATTTATCTTACCGCCATGTTAAATGTACAAAATATCATTACATTTTATGTAAAGATCGCTACCGACTACATGACATGCAAACAAAATGGCGTCTGCCTCTCGACTGGATTTTTAACATCAGTGAAACATATTCTGACAAGCATAAAACTGTTATAAAAATTGTTAATTATGTTTTAGCTGAGTGTGCAAACCACTCAATGTATAAAATAGCTTAAATAAAGAAGTGAAAGTCGGTAAAATAAATCTGTACAAAGTGAACACAAAAACAGCTGATTGAACGATTTTCGAACTCCGGGCACGGCATGCGTCATATTATGACGTCATACGATTGTTAGCGCTTCAGCTTCTCGGCGGGGAGCTTGGCGGTTACCGTGGCAGCGCTTAATATTTTTTCCAGTTGTCACCCTCCTGGGAGGGGTGACACGGAAACTTGTTAAACCGTCATTGACCAATGTATTTTACATGAAGGTAAGATAAGAACTGGTCATATGAACTAACATGTTCATTCAAAAGTCACATCTTCTTCCACGGCTGTTTATGTACAGAAAAACAGAAATAGCAAGACGTGATTTATCAATTTTCGATTTATGGAATTATCCTGAATTTGAAAGTGACAATACCTCAGACAGTAACAAGTTATTTTCTTAAAATGCATAATCATATTCGGAAGACGTTACTGACATTCATTAAGGCGATGTTGATATCTAAGGAAACAGCATATATTGATGGGGTATTCTTTCAAACTTGCAACACCGGGGTTAATCCCTTCACAAACAGAATTGAAAACATTGTATTTACGAATGCGTCGAATGTTCTGTTTTATATTTCTGTATCTACCGTGTTTGTGAGTGAAAGAGTGAGTTTACTTTCACGTTTTTTTTTAGCAACATTCTATCAATATCACGGCTGGGGACACCAGAAATGGGCTTCACACACTGTACCATGTGGGGAATCGAACCCGGGTCTTTGGCGTGACGCTTTAATCACTAGTCGACCCCATCGCCCCTTTTAGAAGTTCGAGAGTCAGATAAGGACACATTTTACGGATGAACAACATCTTTATTCAGATTATCAGGAATGGAAATAACTTAAAAATTGCTAGTGTACTCCTGTACTGTGGCACATGTAAAATCACTTGCCCTGATAATTTTTCCAGTTTCGATACAGATTCTTGTATCGTTATCCAACCCCCGCAACTATAAAGTTTGTCCTTATCCAAGTTGAATGAGTATTCTCAAATGTCTGTAGATATCAGGCTAGCTATTTTCGAAACTTATTAAGCCCTACGAACTTCTTAAGCCCATTCTTAACACATTGGCTACGATCAAAGTTAAGAATTCTTGGGGCTACGAACGTTTCGAGAATAAGTGCCCTGGATCTTACTCTGCCTGGGTGTTTACATGCAAACCTTTGACCCGATCAATTGGCTGAAACTAAGGAAGAGTGTCACAATACCAAGACCAATACCAATCAACAGAGTCTGTTCCGGGGACCATCAATCAGTCCATACTACATAACGGACGTTTAACCCCTCAACTCTGACACCGACTTGTTGAACATGGCCCCGTTCAATGATGGCTATCCCTCACGTCAAAAATAACAGTCTCAATCCGTTAAGAATGTGGGAAAAGACGACCGAGCTGTCGACAAACAAGAAAGCCTTGTCCATGACTATTTATTGAATATTCGCATCAACAAACGTGTCATTTTGTCGGCGCGGAGAGATGCTCAAATGGACGTTTGAATCTTACGTGTTGCAGTGAAAGACAAGAGTGTGACTACAATCATATGATGATACAATATGGACTAAATTGTGTCGACAAATTCGGCTTACGGCTAAATAGAAATGTTATAAACACATTAGTTGAGTCAATAGCGGAAGAGAACGTATTACAAACCGCTATTAGTAGCAGAGAAATATATCTATGCCTTGAATATATGAATTTAATGGTACATAGCTATGTACAATGTACACATATATAAAACATCGAGAGGCAGGAAGATGTTAATCGTTAAACGCATGTGGTATTAATTTGTTTGATGACATTGAAATTCTCTCAGTATGCGAGCACAACATGTGAAAGCTGTGAGTCACAGTGTGTACAATTCACATTATATATATGCTTTGCTTTGCTCGTCATAAGCATTACATTGTTCCTGGATGATTTTGTTCACGTAAATAATTAAGCCATAAACACATAAGACAAGCATTCAAATTATATTCTGTGTTCTTGTCTACATGTGTTCATTGAGATAACACTCGTGGTCTCAATCCGTGACTGTTCTGTGTTATTCTTTTCTGTCAGGTCGAATTGACATAAAGCTGTACCTTATGTGCTCTTGAACAATGCCCATATACCATATCGACGTGCGTAGACACTATTAATGTAATGTGAATTGTACACACTGTGACTCACAGCTATTACATAGATAAATAAAAACAGAATGCCTTTTGCTCCAACATGTTTCGTTCTTTACTCTTCAGGGAGATTGTAGCGGTTACAGTATGTCTTTATTTATCTATGTAATATTTATGACTGAACACCTGTACTATTTTGGACATTTTGTGCGTATATATATATATATATTTATATATATATATGAATCACACGGATTCCTATTAACAAATAAAACAGAAATGAATTACTTAAGCTACTATATGCTGAATTATAGTAAACATAAATAAACATTCCAGGTTACAATATTCTGAATTATGCATAACTATTTTTTACAAATTGGTATTAAGGTAGGACGAAGCTACGAGGGACATAACTAACAATAACAATGAACATTTTGTGTCTTACCTGTCCCCAAAGACAGCGCAGTCAGCATAGCCTCCGTCTCCGTCAAACAAGGCCTCCACAAGCCGGTCTCTCCCTTGGGTTGTAAAATATTTGTAGACGTCAGTTGACAAACATGGATTGATGAGACAGAGGAGAAACGCGACATGCAGGTTACCTGTATTTTCCAACATCTTCATTATCATAGCGAGGGAACACACGTAACGCTGGGCCAGGTGGAGTGATGGGTGTCAGTGGACATAAGTCGTCGTAGTTATATTAACGCTTCGCTGACTAGACACGACTCGGCAAATAAAAATCTTTATTGCATAAGTGAAGGCGAGGGCGTTTCATATATGACAGAGGTAAATGCAAAGGTATTTTCAGTCGCTTACGTACAGGTAACATCTAACCATACAGCGGTTAGGTATTATTGTGTAACGACAAACAAGTGACGTGGTACGCCTACATTGTTGAGACATATAAGGGAAGCTTTAATAGTGCAAGTATGAAGGAGACAGATGGAATGAAGCTGTTTATTGTTAAACTGCAACCGTTGGGTTTAATTTTCTGAATATTATTATTATTTGTTTGTTTCTTGTTTTCCCCGCATTTAGCAATATGCCAGCTAGATGAAGGCGGTTTGGAACTAATCACATCTAGACCAGACAATCCGATGACTTCCTTACATCATAAGCATCGATCTACTCAAATACAATAGGATGACATGTGTCAACCACCCAAGTGAGCCTGACCACTCGATACTGTTCTGACAAGCATTTATAGTTGGCGAAAATCAGTTGTAGTCCAATTCTTCACGGGTTGAATAGTCATAAAGCGTACATTGTATAAAGTGTGCTTTGCTGGCTGCTGTAAATGGTGATATCTCACTCTCACACACACACACACGCACGCACGCACGCACGCACATGCACGCACACATACTCTCTTATGCTAACTTGTAAGTAATTATAGTACGGACAGAGATCATGCGAGTTTAAAATGAGTGAGTCACTTTGGCAATATTTCAGCCTTATCGTGACTAAATCAAGTTATAGATTAATAATAATTAAAGATAAATTACAAAAACCTGTGTACAAAGGACAGTAAAACAACTAGACTATCACAAATAGAAATTCAAACTAGTAATGAAATCTAAAACATGTTAACTATACAATGTAAAAACAGGCTATAGATTGCCAACAATCGAAGGTAGGTCACCATACTTGGGACCATGAGGACTTACATTACTTGCTACCTGCATGGACCCTAGCTGGATTTACACCATCCCTTCAGCTGTCAGCAATTTTTGACAATCCAGCCATAACATTAAAATAGCATATATACTGCAGTTAAAGAGCGTAGTAAGTTTAAATTTACTTGAATTGTCTTGGGACTTACGTACCCTCTCAGGAGGACAATAATTTTACAGTACTTTAACGCCCTTTGAGGGTACATCCACTGACAATATCAGTTGTTTATTTAAACTACCAAGCATAAAAGATTTATCTATTTATACAACTTTAATCAAAATTGATCTAATAACTCTATTTTTTTATAAAATTCCATAATAAAATGACAATTAATATAACATTATTAAAAAGATCCTTAACAGTTTTAAAACTGAAATATTTATCCCCTGTGATGGAAAAATCAATGCAGTCAAGCAAGACATGCTTGACCGTGTGTTACTTTAAGGAGTGAGTTAGTGAGTTTAGTTTTACGCCGAACTCAGCAATATTCCAGCTATATGTCGGCGGTCTGTAAATAATTCGAGTCTGGACCAGAAAATCCAGTGATCAGCATCATGAGCATCGATCTACGCAATTGGGAAACGATTACATGTGTCAGCCAAGTCAGAAAGTCTTGCCACCCGATCCCATTAGTCGCCTCTTACGACAGCATGGGTTACTGAAGACTTATTCTAACCCGGATCTTCACGGGTACTCTCACGTCAGCGTGAGAAGACTTGAGAACGACTTTTCACAAATACCTCTCCAACAAAAAGAATACCAACATACTTTCAACAATGAATACGCAATAGAGAGACGCCATAGACAGTTAATTTAGTGATCGCTTCATAAAAAAAGTCTTGACAATGGATCGCCTGTGTAAGCGCCCATTCTTGTATGGTTGATTGTTATCTGCTATTGTTAACACAATTGCTTACATTATTCACATTACATCCAATATGACGTAAATTGAATACGAAACTTACTTTTAAAAAAATCCACATTTACATTTGTAAACAACCGGATGTATTCTTATAAAGACAGTCGCGACTTAAAGGCCGGGGTTCAAACCTATACACAAATGGGGGGCAATGCTTTATGCTTTATTATCGCGAATGACATTTGCTGTATACGATTAACACTGAAAACACATACAATACAACAAAAGATATATATATATAAGACCACAAAACACCCTTACATATGTTAAATATTACTAGAATTACTGGCAACAACGCCCCAATGAATAAATGATATAATATTTAATAGGGCTGTAACGATGGATCGAACTATCGATGGACTGCAATTGTTGAGTCTCCGATAGCAATTAATCGATGGTAGAAACGAAAACCTATCGATGCATCGATAGTATGTATTGCTATCGATAGTTTATTAATTGACTTCCGTTTATAAATGCGCAGCGCAAAATAGATGATGTTTTGGTGCAGACTTGCAGCTTCATTGAGCTTGTTTTAACTGTTTACTTGAGCTGGGTTTCAAGTTTCTTGTCAGTTCAACTAAGTTTTTATCGTACATAAACTATACATTCATTTGGGAAACAACTTCAAATGAGACATATCAAGGAGAAAATAATATTGCAATAGTATTGCAATAGTTGGTCGCAATAGACTATCGCTATCGCCATGGTTGTTTTCCCCTCAATAGTCACCCCTAATATTTAGCATTTAGAGCTATAGTGGCGACATTACAAATTATGCTGAGGAACATTAGCACTAAAAGTATATTAATATAACAGTTTGAAACAATTGACAAAGTATTATAAAATGATTAACAAACATTAAAATAATTCATTTAAAACACTAATGCTTGCTGGGATGAAATAATTTCGAGTCCTGTTTGTTCTGAATATAGGCGTGCGCAAGCGTCGGCCAGAAGGAAGAAGTTGAAATTCAGGAAATAGGACATGAGCGCTGTCATTTAATATCATACGTGCTTTCTTTTCAATTTGCTACTTGTAAATAGTGCCGATATCTTGCATATTAAGTCCAGAAATTTTACTTGCTGTTTTAACACTACAAGCACACCAAGAAAGAAACGAAAAGCTGATAACAACTACATATGTGATGTATGCGGTCATGTCTAAAAGGGGCGGTGGGGTAGCCTAGTGGTTAAAGCATTGGCTCGTCACGCCGATGACCCGGGTTCGATTCCCCACATGGGCACAATGTGTTAAGCCCATTTCTGGTGTCCCCCGCCGTGATATTGCTGGAATATTGCTAAAAGCGGCGTAAAACTAAACTCAGTCAGTCAGTCAGTCAGTCATGTCTAAAAGTCCAAATACGGACTCACATTTCACCAAAGACGTGTCCATAAAAATATACACATCAATGAGCATAAAGGCATTCGATCTGAGCTTTGCTCACAGTGTAAGAAGGCGTATGGATCGAGTAAAGGTCTGTACCGTCTCCAGAAGTCAGGTAGTTGTTCAGCAGACAGGTCAACAAGCAGAACAGTAGAGTGTGCTATTTGCAAAGAGGAGTTTGCTAAACTCAACTTACGGGAGCATATGATGAGTGCTCACGAAGCTGAGCTATTCTTGTAATACCTGCAGCAAAAGTGGTGCTGCTCTTTCAAATATCACTTCGAACATGTTCATGTTGATAACTGAATAAGAAATCGACACAATATTTCCTTTTGTCAAATCGAAGGTATGTGTTTCAATTGTTTTCGTTACACAGGAAGTGTTTGTATTTTCTCCATCACACTTTGGAACAAAAATTGGAATCATGGCCGTAGATTAGCTTGCACTCGTTCAGTTTTAAACTGTGAAGAAAATGTGGTTTTTGTTATATTTTACCCATTTTCTGCTGGGTGAACAGAAGCAGTTTTGAACAAACTCCCTTGCCTGTCAGAGATGAGACCACATGTACCACGTGTGCTTCGTTATGGGACAGGACTGAAGTCCTAGAAACTCTCTGGAGTCAACTGTTTTGTGACCTGAGCTCTATGCGAATATTCAGTTTTGCTCATAGACAGAATCCTACTAAAGCAAAAACCTAGTTTTAATCCATTGTGCACTTTTTAGGTTTTTAAGTAATATGTTCTTGGTCGTCCTTGGTGAAAATGGATTTTATACTGTTATGAAAATTGTTCGGCACACATAATTTCCCGCTCTCTTTCAGTGTTAACGGCACAATGTTGTTGAAATTGTGCGTCTGGAGCCTTCATTTCCCAGTTTTGTCATCCAATATCAAACATCATACTCTCAGTTCCTGAGAAATGTGATGTTTACTTTTCGTCACAAAAATAATAGCAATGGATTGTCAAAACTGCATCCACATGGCATAGCTTAGATACCTGCAAATACCACACGAATACTCAATACGTTTTCTTTTGTATATATCACTTAAATGAAGGTCCAATACAATTAAATATGCAACTTCCAGTATAAATTCTGATTTTGCTTTGCTCAACTACCAGTACATGAGGGTAACAACTACCTTTAGAGCGTACGGTGTCTATTTAGTAACATTACAGACAACTACGAGATACTTGTCACAAAAGAAAAATGGTAAATGGGTAAAGGGTTACTAAACTACTCAAGTTTGCAACCTTGATGTAAACAAATGTTTATAAATTAGAGCTCATGGAAATGCAAAATTTACGGCACGAAACATTCCTGCCCCAGTGTCACTACTTCACATTTGTATATTGAGTGAGTGAGTGAGTTACTATTTAACGTCACATCGGCAATATCTCAGCCATATCGTGATGAAAACAATTTATACAATACAAAAATGAAAACATTGTGAAGAGTTAAACCTGTCGACGATGGACAGTAAAAATACAAGAGTATGAACAGATATGAACATAAAACTAGCATGTAAAACTAAAACAATGTAATTAAATAAGGCAATACGATATAAAACACGGGCTATAGATCGCCAGCATCTGAAGGTAGATCACCATCATTTGTATATTAAAGTAACAGATATGAAATATTTTTATCATTAAAAACTAGCTACGGAATGTCTTAGCTTTCAGACTATACTGAAAATCAACACATTTAACGCTTGCTTAATATAAAAACCAAACCAATGTCGACACTGCTGTG